TAATTTATATAAATATATATGATAGCGATAATATGATTTTTCCGGCAATGTGTTATTAACTTTGAATCATTTAATGAGCGCGTTTTTTTAAGTTTTAAAAATCTGATTTTACTGGAAATGTATTCCATCAAGTTTGGAATATTTACCCTATGAATTTCAAATAAATGCCATAAAGTTTTGAACTTAATATAATTTATATTAGTTTTCCCCTATATTTTTTATATAAACTATAAATTAAAGGTTGACGTTAAAATTATCTACAACTCATAAAATAGGTATTCTAAACATATTGTAATACATTTCCGTTAAAAACAAAATTTTTAATTTTAAAAAACGCACTCAAAAAATGATTTAAAGTTGTAGAAATAACACTTTTCTGGGAAAAAAATTTCCGCTTAGATATACATGCTATGTATAGTTTTATGGAAAATAGAAGTTTTGTTAAATTCATATAACATAACCCAATGTAAACGTTTAAGGATTTTCTTGTGTTAGAATAGAGTGCATTATTAATTTTTTAACTTAAAATATAATGATTATTAATGATCTTTTCATTCTATCATAGCATCTACAATTTATCTGATATAGATTATTAAATATAGAGAAAACATATATAGATATCCTTAATAGCTAACGGCACAAATATTTTTGAAAATTTTTGAAATAATTCGGCCTTTATCAAACACATAGACAATTTAACTGCCCAGAAAATAATAAAAATTCTAAATTTTCTTTAAAATTTATATTCCTCTCATTATATATGAAAATTCAAAATATGTATTATCTATCAATATAAATTTACCGATTTGATGACACTCGATGACATATGCATGGAACTGAAATACCCAGCGTCTACATGAGCGGGAGGGGTAGGAACAGTTTGCATCCTATTTTTTTGAGGGGGTAGGGGGTAAGCTGCTTTAATGGGGATAGGATAAATTTTTTTGGGGGTTATCTATTAAATTTTGAAATGAAATAGGACAAATTTATTGCTGTAAAAATTAATACTTTTATTATAGTATTATTATAATACAATTCATCTACCAAATCTATATATTGCAAACAATCATACACATTGTTTTCCAAATAAACTATCCTTTTAAATTACATTTAAAAGGTTTAGATATTTCAGCAAGCTCATAATGCCATAATAATTAATTCATTGTAAATAATGGAGGTTATAATTGAATTTATTATCTAAAAAATAAATTCTTTATATTCACAAAATATCGATAGTTGGTAGTAGAGATAGATTAATTTAAGTTATCCTTTATAAATTATTTGAAAAGAGTATCAATAAATAAATAGGTGAAAATAATGATAAAGAGACACCGCCGCCGAAGTGGTGGGAATTTTTTAGGGGGGGGTAGGCAAAGGTTTTTGAAGGGGGTTTGCATCCAGTGAAAATCCTGTCATGTAGACGCTGGAAATACCGCAGCATAGAATTAATCGTAAAAGGAGATGTGTTTTTAGAAAGTTTAAATTTACAGAATTAAAATATTTCTATCATCGATCGGATAATTACTATTTTGCAGAAAGATTAACAAAAAATCAACATCTTAAGTTTTTATGAACCAAGGATAAGAAGTAGCATTGTTGCTAAGGTTGTAAATGGTAAGTTATTTTCGGAAATACACAAATCTTCACTTTATTTACAAATACACTAACTCTAAGGAATCTATAAAATTTCGTAAGCTGTCTCTGACAGTTTCAACTCCGTATTTCCAAAGAACCATGACGAAATATTTTCTGATATAAATGGGGTCATTTATTATTTAGATGATTTATTAATTTTTGGTAAGAATTCTGAGGATCACTTTAAAAAATTGAAAAATGCTTCTGAAGAATGGTAGAATTTGGCTTAATATGAAATATTGAAAAGATTGAATTTGATAAAGAAAACATTAAGTATTTGGGTTACTTAATAAGTAGTAAAAACATACAACCAATTAAAGATAAACTTCAGCCTATTAGTAAACCATTTGAGAATCATGAGTTATTATTCCAGGTTTATAGAAGATTTTTCGAAATTGGCATATAATTTATATGATATGCTTAAGAAGAGAAAACATTTTTACTGGGGATTAATGAAAGAGTAATCTTTTGTGAGATTATAAGAAGATTGTGAAATGCACCTATTTTAGCATCCTATGATAGAGGTAGGAAGTTGTTTATGACTGATGCATCAAATAAGGATATGGGAGAAGTTATGTTCCATGTAGAAGAAGGTGGCCGTGAGACCTATTGAATTCATATTCAAAGTATGATCAAATGCTGAAAGTATATATTGGAGAGAATATTTAGTTGGTAGGATGTTTGAGATTTATATAAATAACAAATGCTTGTTAATTTATTTGATGTACATCCGGAAATGCTACCAAGGTAACAAAAATGGCCTTTTGTTTAACCGGATATAATTTTAAACAAATTATATTATAGAAAGGGGAAAGATCAGATAATTCCTGATGGTTTATCTTGATTAATTAAAGAAGATGTTTTTTTTAATGTGGATAATATTAATAATGATCAAGATATAATCAGTGATTTGGAGATAATTAAAAGAGTCCATTGTTAGATACAGAGCTCATTTTAAAGAATTATTGCTAAACACCACATTTAAACCCTATAGAACCGAATTACTTTTATCTAATTCTAATAACATCCAGTCTCCAACTGAGTAATTAAAACAAAAATCATCGTATAGAAACAGTCTAAGTAGGGAGGGGGGTTGGAGCGATTGATCTCCAATTTTTTTGAATGGGGGTAGGATTTTTTAGGGTAATGGGGTAGATTTAGGAATGTGCCTACAAAAATTATCTGTCATGCAAACGTTATAAAAAAATTCTCAAATGTAATTTTTTCGTTCCTCTTAGTTCAAATCGCAGTTAAACATGTTTAAAAATAAATTTTTATATAAAAATTGTAAATGAGAAACAAGGTGATTCACAGCTATATCTTATAAAAGTTTTCTTATTTGAATTATTGTTTATTTTACATCTTAGCCTTTGTTTTAGTAATATAATATATAATTGAAATAAATTTCATTGTGTATATGTGGAAAATGGAATCCTTGGGGAATCAAAATATCTCAATTTTACATAATTTATTAAGGGTAATATTTAAATTTAATCTTGTTTCACCCGAAATATATTCCAGCATATTTATAGTAGTTACCTACCTTGTCAATTTTAGACAATTTTCGAAATAAATTTGTGTATTTTTCAATTTATGTAAACATTGAAATAAATTAATGGAGTTTATAAGTAGTTTTGTTAAAAAGCTCGTTTGGTTGATTTTTAAAAACGAGATCTGCCAAATAGAATTCTAAAGAATATTCAGCAATATTCAGCCATCTGAGAAAAATTTCTAGACTATGGGCGTCACTAGCCTTTACAATATCAGGAGGCTCTAAAAAAATCTTTAAGCAATTCTTCAGGTAACATTATCCAAAACTAACCTTTTAATTTTGTGGTATATAAAGAAAAATTACAAATTTTGAGGAGGCCTAAATTTTTCAGGGGACATGGGCCTCTGTCCCAATTCTAGTGACTTTAGTGTTCCAAGACTTACATAATATTATTTTTACTAGAATCGTAATAGAAATGTTTTTAGATATCAACCTAAATTGGGCTCTTGAACAACATTATTAATAAGTTAACATTAAAATATTTGATATTTAAAGAGTGGATACTCTTAAAATACTGGAATACATTTCGGGTCAAATCAGATGTTTTACCCCCAATAATTAATTTAAAATTGAGAGATTCTAAATCCCCATAAATTTCATTTCCCAACCCAATATTACGTATAGGAATACCGAAGAATATTTGGATTATCCATCGAAACCTTTAGACCATTTGTTTAACAATGACTAAATTTTCTGAATTTAATAAGATCCATTTTTAGAATAAAAGAATGGATCACGAGACTATCTGATATATCAACCCCCCTTACCATGGAACCGATCTAATTTGATTCTGAGATAAATCTCAACTTTTCTGGATTCGAACCAAGATATGTGCGATTGGGAGACTAGGTCACAGACGATATGTGCGATAGCAATAAATTCTTTCTTCAAATGACTGAGTTAAAAAATTATAGAAAAAATGATGAAAACAAATTCTGTTTAACTGGATATCACTACTCTATTTTTCCCACTTCCCAATGAACAGTTTACATACTAAAAATAATTTACCTCTCCTCCCAAAAATAGTAATTCAAGATCCTGTGCCTAATAAACGCTCTGATATAAGCTGCTGGTCAGTTCGTTAACTTATGCTTCATAATTTTGTAGCATAGGGAGCACATTCTTTTTAATATGTGGAATAGCAGAGTTATGCATGTGGGTTAATGATAAAATAAATTGATGGTAACCTAAGAGAAGCCAATCCACAAGTTTTTGGGAAGACCACAAGTACTAACATAAGACAATTGATTATAAATAGCTGCTTATATAACATTTTATATTTCAAACTCTAACATAAAATCTTTATCTGTATATTTTTTCATTTAAAACCTACCTGCAGAGTTGTACAAAAGATCTTCTTTGAAGATTTTTGAGCGAGATCAAGCTCAAAAATTTGAGCAAGATCTTTGAAGATCGTAAAATTTGAAGATCTTTTATTTTTTAAAAATTTGTGTAACGATCTTCAAAGATCTAGATCTTTGAAGATCGCTACGATCAACGATCTTCAAAGATCTTCATGATATTTATTTTTTTACCCCTTTATTAAAAGCCCAGATGTTTTTCAATTTTCATCAAGGCAGGAGGAGAGGTATAAAACATAAAAGAAATATTATAATAATAAAATTGAAAAACATCTGGGTTTTTAATAAAGGGGTAAAAAAATAAATATCATGAAGATCTTTGAAGATTGTTACACAAAATTTTTTAAAAATAAAAGATCTTCAAATTTTACGAATCTTTTTATTTTGAGAAAATGTACAACTCTGCCTACCTGAGTTGTATATTTTTTAACACTTTTTATTTCTTACACCTATCCGAATGCCTAAAAAGTTTAAAGGCGAAAACTCAAAAGCTGCAGAGGCTCGTCAAAGAGCTGAAGATAAAAAGACAATTGAAAAGGCAAAAATAGACAAAGAAAAAGAAGATATACTATGGTTAGATGATGATAAGCTTGCCAATAAAAAAATACAACGCAAAGTAATTATAAATTTTATAATAAATATCTAACATTGAATAGGAAAATTTAGAAAAAAAGAAAATTGAAACGTTACAAAAGAAATTAGAAAACAAAAAAGCATATGAAGAAGAAATAATATTGTTAAAAGGCAAATCTACTAGTGAAAAATCCATTAATGCATCCTCAAAAGTCACACAAAATCAACTCCTTAAACAAAAAAATGAAGAACTATGCATTTTTGCTGGTAATTTATAATTATTTATTGAAGAAATTTTTAAATATATTCTATATTTAGAAAATTCTCTCAGCAGGAATAAATTAAATCTTGTTCAACCTTTTACCTTGGAAGAAAATATTAATAAACTTAATCCAATTAATGAAGGTGCTAGAAATATTGAACAAGCTTTAGAAGTTTTGAGGTAATATCAATTTTTTAACATAATATAGTTTTATAAGAATATAAATATTAAAATAATCAAGTCGTTAAAAAACTAATTTAGTATAATATTGTACATGTTTTTCAAAGTAAGAAATAAATTAAATTTTGTAAAAATATTTTCAATTTGTTTATTTTAATAAATACTACTGCTATATTTCTAATTTACTCTTAAATAAATTATTTAAAATTATCTTATTATTTTATGCTTCATAATAATTATATAGTAAAAAAAACTTCTTTGACATGTTATAAGAAAATTAAAAGCTAAAAAAAATTAATTTTTCAATTTTAACCTTTCATGTTTTCATAAATGCCCCCCCCCCCTCTTCCCAAGATAATTACTACACCCAGATACATCACCTATCAAGCACAGTTATAAGTTGGATTACTCTTATTATATAAATAACTTAAAAATTCTTATTATATTGATTAATAAACATACAGAATGGCTATAATAAAGTCATATAATATTTTTAGATGAAAGAAAAGTTTTTGTTCTTCCAATTGCTGATGGGGAGGGGGGGGTTAAGAATATGTAAATCAAGTTAAATTATAGTGAAAGAATTTTAATACTTTTATCAAGTATTAATAACAAATTTATCAAATTCTGTCAAATTTACTAAAAAAAACAAAATGTTTATTTAACAAAACTTTGCTAAATTTTAAATTAGAGCTATGCTTATCCACAATTTTTTTGCAAATTTGATCCAATATTACTAGAAAATTGATCCAATAATTATTTTAATCTATTCCTGAACCAATGTCATAAAATATCACTATTTTCTGGGAAAAAATAGAATGATTAACCATATTTTGTTTTTTGTAAGCTTCAAAACAAACAACTTATTTAAAATATGGGTTATGTTTGTAGCTGAATGTAGTGTTGCTAATTGGCTTGATTTAGTCTATTTATAAAAACAACAAAATTAAGAATCGAAATAATATTACATAAACCTCGAAATTTTGTCAATAGATAAGATGGCCAAACCTTTATTTCACATATCATATGTGAGCAAAATTTATAAACCTGGGTAATTTTATTTTTGGCTAAAATATTTAGCTAGGTTTTTTTCAAAAATTTATTTGTTTAACACTAGTTGAATATGACTTGTTGGATATGTTTAAATCATTTTCTTGTTGCAGATATATATATATATATAAGAAAAAATGCCAAATTTTTACCTACATAATCTTTTAAAATAATTAGGATTTTTTTTCAAAACAAATAAATTAAAATTTTGGTTTCTTTTATTAATATTATTATGAAATTTTGTATAAATAAAAGAATATTATATAATTGTAAATACAATCCTAAAATAACCACAAACATAATATTGGATTGAATCGTTTTTTTTTTTGAAATATGGGTCCTGATCCGATATTAATTTAAGGCACAAATCTATAAAATCAAAACGTATTTCATCATTTAAATATCTTCACCCACTTATCTTAATATCACATATCGTTTGATGTTTTCCGAGATATAAATAGTTTTTGTATTTCATAATGACATTATTTGTATATTTCTCAATTCCCTTTTCCTTGAATTTAATTTCATTAAAAATCACAACCCCCCCCCCCCCCCCCCCCCATAAATGAATAAGAGACCATTTTACGCCCATAAGTGACTTTACTATAAGATTAATAAAGTGAACTCAAAATTTTACTATTATATTTAACTGATTTTATAACCTTAATTTTTCCAACGGTCATAAATTAATACTATAATTTTTATTACTTTTATAAAGTAATAAATCAAACATTGAAATCATTTATAAAAAGTAATGCATAATTATATTAAATGGTATAAAATTTATTATTAAAAAATAACTAGTTGTAAGATAATATACAATATATTATTTGGTCATGTAAATTTCTATCTTTAAAAAAAATAAAGTCTGATTTAAATCAAAAAGGTTAATTTTTTTAAATAAATTGTATTCTTCTGATTTATTCTTCTTTCAAAGTTTAATAATTTTTTTATTATGTTACAATAGATTTAAGTTCAAAATTTTTCTTTAAAACCATGAAATTATATGATAATAAATAATCCGAAAAAAAAATATAGTACTTTAGATATCGAGCTCGATAAGCACCCAGAAAGAAGAATGAAAGCCGCTTACAATGCCTTCGAGGAACAAAATCTGCCCCGACTTAAGGAAGAGAATTCTAATATGAGGTTATCGCAACTCAAGCAAATGCTTAAAAAGGAATGGATGAAGTCTCCCCAAAACCCCATGAATCAATATACAATAAATAAAAATAATATAGACCTTAAAAATGCTGAGGCGTATAGTTTTCAAGAAGAAATTACATCGAATTAATATGTCAATCAAATACCAATGTTAGGCGTGAAGTGACAGTTTTATTATTGATAAGAATAGAACTCTTTTTTTCTAAATTATGATTTATAATATTTAATATAATTTAGGAATTTACCCGTGATAATAAATAGTATAACTATAATGCGCTTTAATAATCATAATATATTTATAATATAATATTTATGTAAACATATAAATTAATAAAATATAATGTGTTTGATATAAATGATTGATTTTTTGTTTAACTAGAATAATTGGACTATATTATTTGTAAATAGAGTTTTGCATTTTTATTATTATTATCTGGACTGGAAACAGAGAAAAATGTATCTTAGATAAAAATACTTTTATCTTGATCATAAATATTCCCGTTACTTCCTAACTCTTTTTATAAGCTAATATATTTTTTATTACGTCAATATAAAATGTTTAAAAAACATCGAATTTTAAGTGTAAAAGCATTGCATTTAAAAAATCGTGATTTATTCGTTAATTTTATTTTCTAATAAGTGTCAAATTAAAATTTATAATAATGGACCTTTATAGCTAGGATATATTAATAAATCAAAGAGGGGTATAAGCTCGGAAAGCCAAAAAAATATGGCCACTATCTGTTGTCGCTTCATTTTTAGGGTTTAATAATATTTTAAGGTGTAGAGGTTCGGATGCGTTCATAAATATAATGGCCCCGGATTTCAATTGATGGATCGGCGCTAAATCATCAAGATCCTCAGAATTTTTATTATTGCTAGGAGCCTCGAAACTCTTTAAAAGATCGGAGGAAGGAAGGTTGTAATTCGCCTGTCCCTCAATAACGATCATCACGCTGGCGCTCTGAACGGGCGGTAGGTTCAAGTATAAATATTTCCCCGAGTCATTTAAATGCTTATTTTGTGGCGTAATCTGGAAAAATAAATTTAAAAAAAAACAGTGTTGAAGTTGGCATAATGTATTAAAATTAATAAGTGATTATGTCAGATATGGGATCCAATACGAGACACTTAAGGGGTGGTGTCCCGTCGGTTCTTGGTCAAACCCCTTAAAAACGAGTTCCTATATTTTTTCATGTACAATTTAGTGTAAACTTAATTTTCATTTAATTTAAAATAAAAAAATTATTACATTTTTATGTCTTCCCCTTTCTCTATTATACCTATATATAGGTTTAAGCATTTACTATTTAGACATCTAAAAAAACATTTCCTCAGAATTTAGGGTTACATTAGCTACTTTCAAAGGCAACTTCTTTCATCGATCATTTATCAGATAATTATTGCAATTCAAATTAATAGTTATTGTAGATAAATAAAGTATATAATAAATAGTAAAAAAATTTTTTTTAAATACATTAAACTGTGTGATTGATTTTTTAAAATACAATTTAAAAAAAAAATTAAATTAATGATTTAAGGTTACTAAATAAATTCTTTTAAAAAAATACGATCGGGCCAATGACATATATAATACCTAGACTGACGATTCATTCATTAAAAGTGTACATCAATGCAAATCAGCTGGAGACGCTATCTTGGTTACACTAATCATTATTAAAATTACGAGAGCCTAATTTATTCCTATATCTGATGCAAACTTTATTAAAGAATTACCGGATCATCGAGATAATAAGGAAGCAAGTTATCAATTTAATAGTAGTTTTTAACATGAGAATAATTACTATAGGTTACCAAAATGGCGGGTCCAGCTGTTTATTTGAATGAATGAATCGTCAGTTTAGGTATTATATATGTCATTGGATCGGGCATACTAAGGGATAGGGCCTAATGTTTAAATTATGAAGTAATAAATTTTAAAGCAAAAATAATAAAATATTGGGAAATAAAAACATAGAGTAAAGGATTGCTAATGCATAAAAATACTAAGAAATTTTTTATTTTTTTATAATTATAAAACTGTTCTCCCAATTTGTCCAATTGTAGGCTTTATTGCAAGAACCCTTTAGGTATAAGATAAATGGCAGATCTATTGAAGTAATTATTTCCATTCTCAAGGAGGAATCATGAAAGGATTGTTTAATTTTATTTGATTAGTTGTGAAGGTAACTCTTTAGAGGCTATTTTTAAAGATTGAATCGAACCAAGGAAACCGATTTTATAAACCAAACACTGTAGAATCACCAAAGACCGAAACGGAGCGTGGTCTGGATTATTGTCGTTAAGCGGCTCGATTTGAGCCTATTTTTTTAAAACGGCTAACTCAATTATCTAGAAAAATATTATGGTAGCCTGATCATAAATTGGATACCATTATTATTTTTGTTGTTAGATATCATTATTTACTAAAAAAAGTAATACGTTTAAATGATGATGATGAAAAATTAGCTTAATCTTGTAAAAACTAGTTCTACCACTATATATTTTACATTTCATAACAATATTCCTCAAAAATGTAGGTCCAGCTATGAGTTTACCACTATCGCTAGTAGCAGCAGATATCTATAAATAATTTTGAAAAAATTAGCAATAGATTTCATCTCAAGTCTTATTGGGTTAAATATGTCTATGATATTTTTATAATTTGTCTTCATCCTATATATAAACTCATTATTATATACATACTAATCCTAATATTAAATTCACCATGGAACGTTATTCTACATTTAGGGAAATTGGAAGAACATTAAAAAGAGGAATTTCTTAACATTTTTATGCGTTAAAACACTTTGAACTCTATATCTAGTTTAAGTTAAACTAATAACATATAATACTTCCTAGAATGGTCTATCTATTCATATTAAATGTGTATCAATGCAAATTTGCTAGTGCAACGTATTTAGGTATAAAAATTCTATGATATAGGAAACCAAAATGGCGTGTCCAGCTGATTTGAATTGGAAATAAAAATCGCGAAAATTCATTTTAAATCAATGAATAACTAGACTTGGCAAGCATTTATGTCGCTGATCTTAATATTTTATTGCTTAGGAAAAATTAACTTTTAGATCATTTTCAATCATCTTATTAATTTTAAAAAAAATATATAATATCAAAATTTTAATTACATTACATACAAATCATAACAAGAGAAGAGATTGGAATAATTAAAAAAAAGGATCGTTCATTGACAAAATGATAACGATCCTAATAAATCATCTTTCCAGATAATTTGCCAAAATTAGGATCGAATCCAGAATCGTCAATCTTTTGATCTTGATCCATTAACAACTCTGTACCGCGCATGTATATAATGTTAGTAAAAAGACCTAATATTCTTAAACGAAATAAAAGATAATAATAAACCTATCTTCTTGAAGTTCTACTCAAAATTACTTTCCAAATTAACTAAAATATTTTACTCTTTTATTTTATTTTGCAATTAATATTAATTGCTTCATTATGTATAAATCCAATAGAATTATTAATTAAGTTCCATTTTTTTTTTTAAATTATACAATTTCATAAATTCTCATTATGATAAAAAGCCCAAGTGTGAAATTTACTTTGATTTTTAGTATCAAAAATTTAAATGAAGATCTAAAAAAAAGTGAAATATAAAAATCTATTTAGAAAAATAATTAATCGATTCCAGAATATACCTCAATTTTTTGCACAACGAATTCCGGAACGTTGGGCCTATATTCTTTTACGTATAAGTCTAAATTGTTTTCCTTAGATTGTAATGGCGTAGGTTTCAAAATTTTGGAGCTCGCTGGTCCCATGTCGTAAGTTAGCATACCGCACAAAACTGATATATCTTTGAATTTGGGAGTCAACCCCGCTCTAACAACGTTATCCGAGCAAGCCATACATTCAATACAATCTTATTTTTTTTATATTTAACGAATAAAAATTGATATTTTGGAGGGAAAAAAAATTTTGCATGCAATTCCAGTGTGTTGTTGCCATAAGCCGGATTTTACCGAGTAATTTTTATTAAACCATGCTTTTTTATTTAAAAAAATGTTTAAATTGCTATTGGACGAGGCTAAGGCTGAATTTATAGTGAGATTTGCCGACACGATTTAACAGCTGATCGATTTTTAAAATTTTTTGTACGAGGTAAATATTTATTTATTAATATTAATTTTAACTTAAAATTCCATTCATGATTGTAATATATGAATTAATAATTTTAATAGAAAAATTGATTTCGTAAACAGAATCTTAAAAAGAATCAGCTGTTAAATCGTGTCGGATCGGATCCCACTATGAATGCAGCCTAAGATAGAGATCATAGAAGGCTAGCCAGATATAAGGTAGGGTTAATATAACATTTTTATAAAAAAATGGTTTTTATAAACCACTAGTTATCAAAAATGTACCGATACTAAAGGTAACGTTCAGTTTCGGTATCGATCTATACTTTGTTCGTATTATCGGTGTTGTAGGTATCGGCTAAAAAAGTGGTATTGGTTAATCTCTTCCTCGTTATCATTAAAAATAAAATCAAACTTATTTCTACTATCAAAAAAGTTGGATGGTAAAATATAACTATTCTATGTAACCTCCTTCGATATACGCGTGTGGCTCGTCGGGCCCCAAAAATATTGCCTCACCAGGTTCGAGATGAATGACATTGAAGAAAAGAACCGCTAAACAACCAATATCGCCTGGAAATTGGGAATGAAGTTTTAGGATCAAATTTACCAATTCTTTAGATGAGTCGTTCATATTTATTGATTTTCTATCTGTAAAATAAAAGATTATACCTTTTGCATTACATAGAACTTGGTAAATTAATCTCAAAATCCAAATTTTATTCATTTTAAATTCCTCAAGATAAACGAGTCTAACCTTTAGGAATAGGTTTTCCAGATACCAGTGCTCTAAAACCTCATTTATTCTTAAAAATATCATTTAAATTTTTTTTTTTTTATCGGTGGATAAATATGCATAGAATATACCTAATTTATATATCACTAATAATCATATATAATTCTAAGTTCAACCCGGTTTTTAAAGGTTCAAGAAATGCAAAATTATTATTTTTAACTAAACCAATATTTTAATCTGAACCTTTATTTGCTATGGTGGTAAAAAATTTATATTAAAATTTTTTTAAAATTTAATTTTAATAGATTGTAGTTTTGAAATTATAAATTTTAAGACAAAATTTCCCATTCATTTGGAAATAAAAAAATTAAAAACTATCATCGCGATTTATATTTATTTCAATATACTAACTATTTCATAATGATGATTTTAAGCTTTTTGTTTTTGGCCTATACTAAAAAAACAATTTGGTTATTCAAATTAAGTCGAACCAGGACAGTACCTTGAGGATTGATCTGTCGGAAATAAAAGCTTTTTGCAAAAAAAAATTAGATGTAGAACACTATAATACTCAGCCGATGATGTGTTACGTTATTGCGGAATCAAGTGTATTGCCATTTCTAAAATATTTTCCACGTTCATTTAAGCACAAGAAAATACTTATTCCCACTAGGGTTGCAATATTTATTACATTATGAAACATACAATTTGATAAAACACAGGTTAAGTTAAATAATGAGAAGAACAAATTTAGGTTTGCAAATGAGTTCCGATATTTATTTAAAAAAAATGAATCAAAATAAGTTTAGATTTATTTTCCATTTTTTACGAAGTTAGTTAGCTACGTTAACAGACATTCTTTTGATAAAAATTCTTTGTCACTGATGATGACAAAAGTTACTTTTGAAAAGTAATTAGTTCACTTATAATATTGCAAATTATTTTATAAACAATTTAAATAACTCATCATCATTATAATTTTTTTTTGATTATACAAAATAATTTCATGATTTAAAAAAATCATAAATCATAGAAATTTAAAATAAATAAATAATTGCACTGAATAAAAATGTACAACAAAGTAATATTTTTTATTTGCAGTGAAAGAATTAGGAATAAATTTTTATTTTAACTTAAAAACTATCTTTCGTTATTGGGTTTGGAAGCTTTTGCTCAAAAATAAGCTTCTTTAGATTAAACAAACGTTCAACAGGTTAGCTTGATGCAAGTGATAGTAAATATATTCTTTATTTCATTTTATTCTTATAAAAATTTCTCCTGATAATGATTATTGAAATGTTATGGAAGTTTTGAGTAAAATTAAATTATATTTTAAAAAAAAATTAAACAACAACGTGCAAAAAATCAAGAAAAAAAGGTATAAATATAAATAATATCTATAAATTTTATATAATATAGAGTTTTTCTAAACCTTCTTTAGGAATTTGCGACATAATATTATTGAGTGTTTCTATAATTTTTGATTCAGGACTCCCCATAAATTTAGTGAAAAATTTTTTGAGAGCAAGTTTGAGTGATTCATCATTGAAATCTGAACCCATATTTTCAACTGCCTTGTAAAAAATATTGCATTCATTAACTCCTATCAATTTTTCTAGTTCTGGGAAATCTAATTGATTGATACAATTTTGTGATAGTATAAATTAATTGTAATAATTTTATATTTTAAATCTGTAAATAAAAATAGTAATAGAAACTAATAGCATATTTAATATATATGGAATCTTAAAAAAAGAAACATCAAATTCTAAAATCTAGTTAACTATAAAGAATCTGACAGAGTTAGAAATTTAGAAAAGTAATTAAAATATAAAACTTCTCAAATTCTGACAAATTTCTGTTGGGAGTCTGAAACCACATAATGCCTGAAAAGGTGTCAAAGCTATAGCTATCTCAGGTTTGTGATTATTGTCTGGATAATGGTTTGGGTATTCCTTGTGAAGTTGTGCGGCTAGTTGCTTAGAATAGAAATAATAGTATAAAATATTATATTATAAATATTGGCAGGATTTAATAATCATTTTAAATTTAAATGCTTTTTGAATAATTAAAGTTTTTAATAAATATGTTGCAGATAATTAAATATATAATTTATGTAAAAAGTTTAAAAATTACTTTGTTAGGGTGGGCCTGTATAGATAAGGCTTTATTTATTGAAAGTACTTTGAACAAAAATGGCAAGCTGCCTTTCCCATCATTAGTGCTTCCAAATTTGTTAACTATTGAATTTCCTAAAATTTTTTCAGGACTTGATTCAATGTATTCTGATAATAAAACTTTCACTGGAGGCTGATTAGGATGTTTATGACCTAATATTTCAGAAGGCCCTTTATTGTGTGTACCCATCCATAGCTAGATATTTTTAAAATAAAATATTTATTCTTTGGTTGTACTTCTGCATAACATTTATTATCATCTATCGGGTATATTGATTGATTAAAATTATTGATTAATTGAGCAACTTTGCTTCTCATTCCTTTTTTGCCCCATTCATAATTTTGAGTAACACACTTGAGGTAAAAAACTAAATTATGGCCATATTTATATATATTATTTTTTTAAATATTGATACCCATCTCAAGATAATTTTAGCAATGTGTTTTTGCAATCAGTGTCGTGGACAGGACAAATGAATTTTAATCATATGGTAATAAAACATATGTTAGCATTTTTTGCAATATTAGATAAACTAAATATAAACTTACTATATATCTGCAGCGTCACTGGGGGTGGGGGAGGCGCAAGGACTAGATCCCCCTCAATATTATTTTTTTATACTACGAAAAAAATGGTAATATTAGATAATGCTAGTTAAAAAAATAGAAAAAAATTTTACATAATGTTATCTAAAAAAAATTAAGGTAAAAATAATTAAAAATATTTTTTGACTGAGATTGTAAAGGTTGGTTATGCCACTGATATATATATAATATATAGATATAAAGTGATAGAAAAAGAATTTGTTTATCGAATTTGAAAATAATTTACATAAAAATAATATATAGAATCTTTGTTTATCGGGTATGCTACCCAACACCTATAGACTAGTTGATAATTTTTGCAATATAATGAAGTAGAAAAATTTCTACCATTTTAGTTATGGTACTGATTATAAAAGGACTAGAGAATCGCAATAGCCATTCTTAAGGCTAATTATGTTTGTTTTATTAATTCGATCTCTCTTGATGATTAGGTGAAGGAGGTTTTGAATTATTTTGCTGCTTTCGCTTTTATTTATTTTGTATTTTACTAAATTTTATGAACTATCCCTCAATATTTTCCTTTTTTTTATAATGATTTTTTTTTCTTACTAATTATACTAATTATATATTTTTCATTTTATAAATTATATAAATATAAATTAATTACAAGATTTAAATAAATAAACAAGAATTTTTAAAATACATTTTCCCCGTGAATAATTATTTATAAAATGAACCACGAGGTAATTCAAAATTTAATTAAACACTTCAGAGCACATGAATACATTGCAATTGATTCTATATTTAAGCATATCTCACAGGTTATATTATATTATATGTTAATATATAAAAAAAAAATTTTTGCATGTAGAAGCAAGATTATTTTGAGGATTTTAGTCGCAAGGATTATGAGACATTTAGTGAAATACATTCAACATATGAAGAAAACAATGATGAAATGAAACGAATGAAAGGCTATCTTAAGTTGATTATAGGGTATTCATGGAATGAGGAAGGGAAATATGACGAAGTAATCAAATTTATATATAAGTTTTAAAAGTTAAATGTATAAAAATCTAATGATTAGTGGTCTCCATATCAATTTCAATTCTTAATATAGTTTAATTTTCTTAAATTTTTTGCCTTTTTTTAAAATTCATACTATTATAATGGGAAGATGGTTAAGAATAATGTACTGTGCTATATTTAATTAAATTAGGGAAATAATTGTTTAAATTTTAATAAGTTAATTTTTTAAATCTAAATTACTTAGGCATTAAAATTCTTTACAGTAGCCCTTGATCATTTGAAAGATACAAGCCTCCTATTATGTGCATTCAACATTTCTGATATATGTCACAATAAAGACAATCTAAGCACCTCTATAAATCATTTGGTAAATAAATTATATGCATATATTATAATCTTTCCCTATAATTTTTAAAACATTCCATTAACTAGACATCCAAAAATGAATTCTAATTGAATAGTACTTTATCCATATTCAATTTGTTTAAACAAATCAAATAATTTACTGTATGTTCAAATAATCTTAATTATTTGAATTGGAATGAATTTATATAATAAAATAAATCATACTCAAATATATTGACAAATTTTTTTATAGCAATTTTAATTTTAAAGAGGAAAAATTATTATAATAATATGATGTTTAAAAATTATAATCAATAATCTGATAAAAATATATAATCAAGTTATAAACAAATACTTACATTTTCTTCTTTATATGCCTTGCCATTTTTTAGAGTACGGTATCTGATATGCATTTGCCTTCCCATTAATAGGTCAGTATCACTCTTTGCTCTTAGCTCACTCAGATAAAAATCTGTTTCACACAGTGGAACTAATATCCAGTCTGTTTTGCTGAATTTCATCCTTATTTGTTTGACAGTTATAATATCAGTGTATAAAATAAAATCATATTTATTTAAATGGGGTAAATAAAATACCTTTATAGCTATGATAAATCTCTTTAAATTTGTTTGTTAACATGGATATATCAATATCTTGATCAGCAGATATTGATTTAAATTATTCTACCGGGGATCAATTATTTTGGTTATTATTGCTGTTAAATTATAATATCCCAACAATTTATCATATGCTGCTTTAAAACCATTTTTAAAGGGTTTATAGAAATTAGGTTTTCCATTTTATATCAAGAATTGGAATATAATATGGTATATAAAATTATAAGTAGGATAATCCTCCCCCCCCCCACACATACCATATTTGTAGTTTCATATAAAGGCAATAAGATAGCTAGCTTTAATTTTTATAAGATCCTCACATTCCTCCTATTTGTTGACAAAGTATTATAGTTTTCCCTAATTATAAATTTTAGTTTACCTCTGTTATTTGTTTTTCTTGAAAAATTTTAATATTAGTTATTACTTCATTGACTAATTTTCTTATTGCATAAGCCTCTTTCAATTGTTTGGTATCACCTTATTTCATAATCTTATTTTGGCTTTAAAAAATTTAGGGGAGGATTAGGGATGTACCGATATTTTTTATTGGATCGGATCAGGCCAATATTTCACCCATTATAAAATATCGGTTAGTGGCCAATATTATAAAATTTTTCATTCCGATCTGATAAAAATGACGCTTTTAATAAAAATAAAATATAAATTTTTTTAATAATAATTAATTATTAAACATTCTGCCATATTGTTATTTTTTTTGCGCATTCTGCTTATAAAAGTGTGCAATAATCTCTTCTGTATCTGTTTTTAGTGAAGCTGGTGATTACCATAGCCGCAGGCTGACCTATTTCTAAAAAGAAATCTTCAATATATTAATGTTAAATATTATTTCAAATTTTATAATATATTTGTTTATTACTTATTATGTATATAGATTAATGTTATTACTTATTAAAAGTGATTTGACAATAAAACTATTTTATATAGTTTTAGAATTACAATTGAATTGAATATAAACTATAACTGATCATTATAATATATTAAATGATATAAGTTATGGTATAGCTAGATTATAGATGTTATACTAATAAAAAGTATATTAAAAATTAAAACCATTGGTATCTTTACAGAATATAAAATTAGATATGATATCGGATCGGTAATTGGCCGATATCAATTTGAGATCGGCCTCCAAAAAGTGGTATCAGTACATGCCTAGGAAGGATGTAGTGAACTTATATTTTTTAATAAATTTCATTTTTTGGGAGAATTTTGTCTAATAATGTTTCTCAGTTTTAAAATAGAGAGATTTAAAATTTTTATTCTTTGGAAGGGGCAAAGCATCGGATGTGCCAATGTTTTATTAATGAATATTTTAAAGAAAATATATCAATAAAGGTTTTATTATTAATTATTAGAATTTTTATTCTCAAAATTAAAATTTTTGATTATTAACAAAGGCTTTAAATATATTTTCACCTGAATGTGCTTCATTCAAATAAAAATTTTGATTTATTTTGCACCAACCTACTCATTATAGAAAATGAAGTTGGCATAGTTTATTCTCTACTCCTTGCTTTCTTGTGAAGGATTTCTATATCTCTTAATAGAATGATGTTACTCTCTTAAAAAAAATATCTTCCACGTGTTTCTGTATCTTTAAAATTTATTTTTCTGCTATTGGGATCTTCAAATTAAATGCTACTAAATAAAATTACAATCATTTTTTTAAATTATTATATATTAGACTCTAAAATGTTTCCAGATGTTGCTTGGAGATATCCGTAGACTCCCACCAACTTGGAACATAACAAATATTTATGCAAATGCTTTAACTTACTATGGCAAAGTATATTTAACACAACAATTTTTTAATATATGTATTTTTTTTAAATCATAAATTGAGCTCCAGTGCTTACAAATTTACCAAAAGCGTGTAGTATTGTGTTTTTCTAATAAAATATAGTATACCAATTTTTACGTTATATTTGAAATTTCGACAAAACGCAAGTTGCTACAATTCGTAAATACCAATTCATTAGGCTCTAACCGGTTCAGGCATTTTAGCGGTTCAGTTTGGGTTGTGATAAGAAAATTATTTAATTATTTAACTGGTCAGGTTCGTTGAAAAATACCTGTTTATAAGGTTCGGTTCTCATCCCTGTTTATAATCAACAAAATAAACGCAAACCTATTTTGCATACAACATTTGGAATGAAAGATGTTCGAAAAATTCCTCAAACAAATCGTTTCAATTGTCCATCATTTTTTTTTCGAAATTCGATTTTATTTCAGTATTACTTATCCACGGATTACTTTATTTTTAATTATACCACTAGGGAATAATGATTTAAAATATGAGATAACTCATTTTATGAGGCTGTGGCTTAAATATCAAAAATTATAAACGTTCTTAACTCTGACGAGAAATTAGCTTCTTTTAAATATAAAAAACATGCACCTTATCTTAGGTTTTTTAAAAATGTTTTTTCTAATTTTTAAACCCAGATTTAGGACATGACCTCAAAAAATAACATATTGGATATGATTTTTATTTTAAGAAATAATTTTTATGATTTAATATCAAAAAAAGTTACGATTTTCAAAAAAAAGAGCTTTTTCTAAAAATGTAAAAATATAAAAGACGCCATAAGATTTCATTAAAAAATTTCGAATTAGAAAAATATTTTGGACTTGTTAATAAACCTAGACATTTATATTTTTGACGTTTAATTAATTTTGAAATTTTTTTTTGGTAGAATAAAGAAAATATTGTTATAATTTTATATAATAATATTTTTTTAAAAAAGTTTAATAAAATAATTCTTTTTTCTTATTTTTTGAAGTTTTCAAAAATGTACTTCCTCCCCCCCTTCACTTTTTTTACACCAAGTGAATAAATTTTATTTTTGAAAAATATAAAACAATTAAAAGCGATTACTCATTATTATTTTTTTTTGTAAAATTCGATGAAAAGTTAAAACGAAATAGAAATTCGAATTATTTATCACAAATTAATAAATAAAATTAAAAGGGTTGTTGATAAACGAGAATGGTTAGCGCGAATATCGCTGGGAATTATAAGAAAAAATATTCTGTATTTACGTATTTATTCTCGGTCGCGAATTCGCGCTAACTGCGGAATAAAGGGTTCACGGATTAGGGCGAATTCGATGCGAATCGCTTGGCCTCTTTTATTCGGCAAGCCCTTGTATACTTAGCAGATTTTTTGATAATCAGATACAATGACATATAGAATACTTAGACTGATGATTCATTCATTAAAAGTGTACATCAATGCAAATCAGCTGGAGACGCCATTTTGGTTACACTAATCATTATTAAAATTTTAAACGAAAGCCTAATTTATTCCTATATCTAATGCAAACTTTATTAAAGAATTACCGGATCATCGAGATAATAAGTAAGCAAGTTATCAATTTAATAGTTTTTAACATGAGAATAATTACTATATATGTTATCAAAATGGCGCGCGCAGCTGATTTGCTTTTAACGACGCTTAAAAATGCATTTTAATGAATGAATCGTCAGTCTAGGTATTATATGTCATTGATCAGATCATAATTCGTACCCTGTATTTTTAAAGTTTTATAATTCATCATCTGGGCAGCGAATTTTTTTTTTTTAAATGTCGTTTTATTATGAATAATTTTGGTGGCGTTTTTATAAATTGTTCTCAAACGGGAAATAAATATGAGTGATTGATGAATGAAATTTAAAAACTGTTTCATAAATATTAATTAGGCCCTTTGTATTTATTTTTATAAAAGCGTTTTTACCGGTGTATGTCACATAAATGATATACAATCGCGTCTGATAGAGTATATAAAGCGCCTACGCGGCTGTAGAATACATGTAATTTACAATAAGATGTAAGAGAATGGTGCCTGGTTCGGAAATTATTTTGTAATCCTGGGTAAGGCCATAACACAATGTTTTTAAAATAATTGATTTGTTAAAAAGTAAAACTATGTGTATACCTATTAAATAGGCATTGGACCTTATTTCTGATTACCCTTTTACCTATAAGATTTCCGAACTCATTTGGCTTGAATTAATATATATATTGGGTTCAGGTTTCTGTGCTCATAAGGCGGAATTCACAGTGGGATCCAAACCGACACGATTTAACATCTGATCGATTTCTTAAAATCTATTTATGAAAATCCATTTAATTCTATCTGTGAATATAATTTTAGAATTATCGATTCTAAAATAAAGCCTTCGTGTCGGATCGGATCCCACTATAAATTTATCTTAGGTTTGAAAAAAATATTTAAAGAGGAACAGGAACTCGATTTTACAATATTTTTAACTTTTTCCTCGTGGAAAAACTAAAATAGCATTGTCCTCCACACGATTTCGAAGTAATATGCCTCAAAGCTTTGGAATTTGACCCCCACAACGAAATATATTTGGGCGAATATGGGCGTTACGCTTTGAACCAAGCATTAGGTATGTTGTTGTTTTTTTAAAGAAAATAAAATTATTGTATGATGAATAATAAGGCTTGGAACCGTCAAAACCCTTCTTAAGCCAATCACACTTGTATCCCAATCTGATAACTAAAATGTAAAATGGATGGTGCTGACCAGGGTTGCTAGATTCATTCAAACAAAAAAAAACGGGTGAATTTCGCGATAATATTTTTTTATAACAAATAATATTAATCTTTTATTTTCCCCGGTGATTGATTATTTGTTTTATTTAAAAATGAATATATCTAATATACGATTAGTAAAATAAAGGAAGACCGTTTAATTATTATTTATTTAATATATCAATTAATAGACCACATTTAATTTTATTCATATTTTTTCAGGAGATTTTACGTCATTATTAAATTAAATTTTTTATATTTTTTTGTTATATATTCATTAAAATCTTTAATAAATATTATGTTTTATCATTAATTCCGCTTCTAACCATGAATTTATAGTGGCCCGATGGCGATCGCGATTTAACAGCTGATCGATTTTTAAAATGTGTTTAAGAGATCAATTTTTATTTATTAATATTAATTTTATCTTTAATTCGATTCATGATAAATCTAAGAACAAATGATTTTATATTGGAAGATTTTAATTGGGGTTTCTCACAATTACCCTCCAAAATGAGTGGTTTAGATTTATATCCATTAAATCTTATATCTCTTTCCTCATTTTTGGCATCGCGTTTGATGAATAACGCCATTATATCTTCTTTTATCTCTCCTAAAGATAATCTTTTAAATTCAGCCTTGACAGCTTGGGTATCTTTAGCTCCACCTGAAGCTGTTTTACCCACAATCTTAACACACCAATCTATTTTCGAACCTTTAATTAAATATTTTTTTTAAATAATCTCATCAAACCCCCCTTTTGAGTATATTCAACAATTACAGAATGCTGACTGTACTAGTGGTTATGAATGGTTGGAAGCATTAATAAGTCGTAACCTAGGTAACCTCTTATCAGATGAACAATTAAGAGTTGCCATAGGCCATCGACTTGGATGTAACATTGTTCAACCACATACATGCATCAAATGTAAAATATTAGTTGACTCCAAAGGGAGACATGGTCTAAATTTTATATATTGTCAAGGCAGGCATGCAAGGCATGCAGCAATTAATTTAGCTATTAGCCGTTCTCTTACCAGGGCCCGAATACCAAACATTCTGGAGCCTACCAAATTTATTATGAGATGATGGCTTAACTTCCGTGCCTTGGTCTTTAGGGAAATCCTTAATTTGGGACTTCACATGCGTATCTTCTTTTCCAAAAAATTCGAGAAAAAAAAACAATGAAATATTCCAAATTCACAAATTATATTTTTATACCGATTGTTATCTCTTCCCTTGGACATATGCCAAGCGGAACTTTAAAATTCTTAAAAATAATAGGCGATAAGAGCCCTTACATCAGAACCAAAAGAATACTATTTTTTAAACAAAATCTACAAATAACTTTTTTTAAATATAACCATTCATGTTTTTTGGGAACTTGTAGTCCCACCTCCGTTTTTATAAAATAATGTTTTATTTTATTTTATATTTGATATGTTAATTTTAATATTATTTTATTTGATAGTAATAATAAAAGAAGTATTTCAATAAAGAAGAAATGATCTCATTAACAGATTTTAAAAACTGGCAGTTGTTAAATCGCGCCACTATGAATTCAAGTTAAAGCTGATAAAAGATAACCAATTACTGTCTTCTCGCCATTAATTCTTTTCTTTATATTAAACTAAAAATATGCTATCTGAATTGTCGTTTGAATCCAGTAATTATTATATTTTTAAATTGGAAAGATATTTTTTACCTTTCTCAAAATATGGATTAAATAAAACCACAAAACATTGCCGTTTTTAAATGTATGATTGAATTAAAATAAAATAAATTAAAGTGTAAGTTTCTGGCTAAGCTATTCTTAATGATTATATTTTAAAAAATCGGGAGAAAACGTAAATCACAAGGCGTGTTTTGATTGCGAGAGATCTGGCAACCCTGATGGTAACTATGAGTTATATTGTTAACTTAGATAATTACCCCCTCTCCCATCCCCTCCGATATTTTTAATTGATGCTATCGTATCTTATACCAACGTGTTAGTTAGAGAGCCTTGAATAAGGCTGAGGCCCAGATGTTCATTAGAAGGTAAATATAATGAAAAATTCAAAGAATTATTTCTCCTAATAATCAAACGAACAGTGTTTGTTAAACCGCTTCACTTTTAACCAACGCCATAACTCTCTTAGCTAAGCTTTTTAATTTAAGTTAAATGTTAAATACTTACTTATAGGAATATTAATTACTAATCAAGAACCCAAATTTTATGATACAATCTTCTGATTAATTTAAAATTTCCGAGATAGAAAGAAAGGAAGAAAGAAAAAAAAATACAAAGAATTTGACGAGTTATATCCCTTTTTACTAAATACTCCCTGAAAATTCTTTATAATATCCCCCGTTTTCCTCATTTTATATATTGGCAAATTTTTAAGCCCCAAAGAGATATTTGATCAGATATAGTTGAAAAATTCCAGTAAGGCCAGGTCCATTTAGGCCTATTCAAAAACAAATATCAATCGACTGTTTACATACGAATACCTAAAATATATACTATTTTTTATTCGACTGATTTTTGCGAATTTTAACTCTTTCGATTGGTTCAAAAAAAATCAAGATTCGTATTAGTTTCTGAATAGGCCTAATGTCCATGTAAGTTTACAAAGCGCAATGTTTTGTGTCGCTACTTCGAACGATATTTTGGTAAAAAAATATTAGTCGCCTTTAAAGGACGAAAAAAAAGATGGCTTCCGGTCTTTCTTATACGTAAACAAAAATATTATTTTAATATTAAGAAACCTTCAACAGTGAACAAATAAAGGATTGGCTGTCACGATTGACTAAACTCAAAGAGCGAGGGTTGGTGAAGGAAGGTCTGCTCAGCTTTTGCGGAAGCTTTTACCTCGCTGCTAGAAAGATATTTTACACCTTCAACGATTGGAAACAAAGAATCAAAGCCCTAAATGATAGTTTAATTTATAACGCGATAAATTTTTTGTTACCCCGGGTTTTAAAGTAGCTATTTTTAAAAAAAAAAAACTTTTCGTTGGCCTAATTTTTGATAGTTTGGATACTTGGGTCAAAAGTAGATCTAACGAAAAGTTAAAGTTAATCGCAAAGATTTGCATTAATATAAATTAGAAATTTGTAAATTTAAAATACTAAATTGTACTAGTAATTATACATTTTCATTAATTATTATTTGTCTTGATCTATATTTGAAAAATATAGGCTTCTTAATTTGTTGCCAGGTTGTTCATTGTGTAAGAGCTAACATCATTATAATACATTAAAAATAACATTTTTACCATTCCAAAGGAATTAATAGTTTTAAAGACGATTTTATATTGGTCTTTAACCAGATTGCCAGATATTCAAATTTCAATCGGTAAAAATTAACATTTTTTACCATTTCAAACCTGCTATTCTCCATTTTGAAAGAATTGGACGAGTTGGGCTAAAAATACAATGAATGACCCCGTTCCCGAAAGGCTTACTCCTAAATTTAATCGCATATTTATTGGGATAACTTCTCTCTAATGCAATATATTAAGGCGCATGCGGTATTTAGAAGGAACCACTTCACTACATAATAATTGTATTAAATACTTAAGGTATGTAATAAAATGAGACGCAACGCACCTTTAATCTTAGGGGGGGGGAATAAAATAGTTATTTTTCTATAATCTTCACATAACCCCAATTTGGCAAATACCCTAATAATACATTTATTTTTTTTCTAAATTATATAAATTAATATTATGTTTGTATTAGTCGAAAACTCGAAATTCAATTCCGACGATTACCCGGAAACTAGCTTCCTATTGGCTCGCACCTATTATATGATCAGGGATTACGAAAAAGCTGTTTTCCATTTGGATAGATGTGATAAATTTTTTTTTATTTATTCAGAATCATTATAGTGTTTGGTTGAAAGAGATTTTTCAATTTGAAAAAATCTGATTTAACCTCCAACTTTTGAACTACCCTATAATAGATTGTAAATCAAAAAAAATTATATTTTGCGCACTTACATTACTTCCTGTTAGCATTGCTAAACGGTTCTATTTAAGCCAGTTTTTTTAAGCAATAGCGCCAAATCAAGATTTTTGCCACAATAATATTACTCGAGTTTTGAAATTTTTGGTGAAGGATGTCTAAGGCTAGGCTGTCTGTCAAAACTCTGAGCATAATCTTCAAGTTTTTGATAATTTTTTATAAAATATTGAGTTAACCCCTTTTAAAAATCGGCATGTAACAAAACTACCTTCGATCAAATTAGGTGTTTTAAATATAAAAATCGTCTGCTAATCTCCCTTGCTGGTTTATTTGATAAAAACTTGTTGATTAAAATTTGAATAGTATGAGAACTTCAAAAATAAAAAAATAATAATTCTACCAAATTTTTTAGGTAAATCGCAACTCAAAGAATGTTCCAGGGGTTATCACGATATATTGAGAAACTTGATCGTCGTATTCGACATTTTGATTAGGTACGGAAAAATGGAAGCATCCAGTGATACTATCGATAAGACGCTTGCTAAAGAATTACTTCCGGTATATTGCACCCTTTTTTTTTAGAAATTTTAATAACCAATTTTTATTTTTCCTTTAGAATGTAAATATGATAAATTTTATAAAATGAAAAAACTTGATGATATTTGAAGGCCATCTTTAAAAAAATATATATTAGTTTTATTAAACATTTTATAAATTATGTCGTAATTTAAATTTCGATCGCAGGTAAATTCTAAATGGGCCAACGTGCTAGCATTAACTCACGGAGAGGAAGTCGATAACCCGAGTAGATATTTTTCGGAAAAAGTATTTATTTGTAAATATTACACCACCCCCATTCCCATACCGCCAAGCAGCCATCCTGGCCAGCCCCGAAAAAAAATTAATAATTTTTCAATGTTGATCATTATAATTAAGGTATAAGTGGTAAAATCGTGTTGCCACTGACGCAAAAATATTATGTGCCCATGTCTTTCTCGGCTTTACATCACTTTTGTGTCAGGGCCTATAAAACGGATATAGTTATAGCGTTCTTATACAGTGGCATATTTGCCACTCAACTCTGGTAGATGAAAAAAGGGAGGGTGGGGTATGAAAAATCACATATTTTAATGGTAAAAATCCCAAAACTAAAATAAGATTTTAAACAAAAAATTGGGATTGGACCATTTACCCTCTCAACACCCTTCCCCCCCCCAATATTTTTTTATATAAAATTTTTTTTCGCGTATATTTATTATAGGAGGATGCCATTTCAAATTGGTATGTCTTAGGGCGGACCAAAGATGCTGGAATTCCTCCTTATAACTGGTATGATTATTTCTATTTAAGTAGGGGTCGTTGTAAAAAAAATACAGAAGTGGAGAAGGAGGGTTAAAAATTATTTTAAAAGAAATTTTGAACATCTCGAAAGTTTAAATTTATAAAAAATATTTGTCGGTTTTTATATTAAGCAGTTGTTAAACGGTTCGATTTGAGCCGATTTTTAGAAACGGCTAACTCGATATTTTACCCCAGAAAAATGTTGCGCAAGCATGAAGATATCTAGACATCTATTACAGAAATTTCGAGACTTAGACCATATTTTTCTCATAAAATATATAGTTAAGTGTTTTTCAAAATCGGTTTCTAAACGAGCCGTTCAACTACACTAATATTTAGGATGATTGTCATGTTAAAATTTTTTTTGTAGTTTTTAATGTTTTTTTTTTGTTTTAATAAAAAATACGTTACCTCCCTCCTTAAGAGAAAATAATTTTTAAATTCCTAGTTTTAAGTAATGTTATTTTTTTAAGCCCTCGAGCCAAATACTCAACTCATTTATAGAGAATAGTAGATCAGCTCCAGGAATGTTCGACTGGAGGATATTTTTTAATTGGATAAAAAATTGAAATATATTTAAAATTAAACGTATGAAGGAAGGAGTAGGATTGGAGGTTAGAGAGAGAGCTATGAGTTAGGGTTATGATACATTAAAAATGGTTTTTAATAATTTAATTAGCTGTCAAATCTGACATGTTGATTATTAAATGGACGAATAAAATTTTTAATCAATCAGCTGTTATAACCGCAATTTTATAGAGTTGCATAATACATTTAGACCAATTAATAGTCAAAATCTAAGATGCACTGATACCGATCGGCATGTAATTCACCATATCAGTCAGTGAGGGTACAAAATGGCTGATAATTATAAATTAGATTACATTAGATAGTAAGAGGAAAAGGAAATGAGAGAAAATTACCATCAATTAGTTGAATTGAAAGTATGGTGATTCAAACTCACTCCACTTACGACAAATTGGGAGATAAGATAATTTTATGTTATTATATATATCGATTTTATATTAGCTGAAAAACGATCCATAAAATACCTAATAGGTTGTATTTTAATTTGACCCGTATTTTAAAAAAAAAATTATATTTTAATTTTTATAGCTAATAATGGCTATTTAAAATATTTGGTTTTACAATATATAACCCGGGTATTTGATATTTTTTTAGGTATTTAAAAAAAAATTAAAATACGACCAGACTAGTGTGCCCAGGTTTAGGACCGGTCCTGCAAGTCTCTGATATATATATCTTAAAAACGTTATTAAAAATTAATAAAATTTAGCCTTATACTTTTAAAGCAAAACTATCCAAAATCAGACCTTTACCTATGTCTAATGTATATATTAACTCCAATATCCTACAGGCTTTGGTCTATATATATCTCCATTTTGTACTAACCAATTTTAAATATTATTTTAGTATGTGACTATGACACCCGTATTCCATAACAATAATCTATATTAAGAAGCGAGAAAGTTAAAAAATCTACAAGACCTACCCTGTTAAGATATGTTAAACAAGCTGCCCGGCCCCTTTAAATTTTTTTACTTGGCCCAGACTAATATTTTAATATTTGCCAGGGCCCAGATCTATGGTAAACATTGTCATGCTCACAATAAAATTATTATTTCCTGAATCAATATGATAATTTATTTTGAGTCCCTAAAGTTAATTTTAATATCAGATATTTTTCACAGTTAAATTTATAATTATCACCCCACCCCCTTCTTTTAATTCCGAATTGATAATAATAATTTTTTTATCAATGAATTATCCATCTACATTACCAAAAGCTATTCACAATGCTTAGAATTAATCGCCAGTTATGAAACCGATTGCAGTGACAAAAATAAAAACGTCTCCTCCACTTCGAAATATCACTATACCCCGTTCGAGTATTCTTTGATCAAGAGCGCATGCTTGATTGAATTCGCCCGTATACTTTGGACCCACAGGACCAAATCGCCGGATATGAAGGAAAGGTTCGTCGAAGCAGCTTTCAAGGCTTGTCATTCAAATCCCTTCATAGCTTTGCCCTATCGTTTATTAGCCCTTTACTACGAAGAATGTCACAAGGAATCTGTTAAACTCGGTAGTATTAACATAGCCAAGACCCATTTAAAGTATGCCACATTTTAACTACAATTTATATGCTAGAATCCTGAATGATTGACACCTATTTTTTTATAAAGTCCACCCCTGATCCGAGAAAGAATTTTTTTTAAAATTTTTATAGCCCAAATCTATATAATTGTCATTATTTTTTATATTTTTTTCCTATAGGAGTTAAAATGAACCTATTGTATAATGGATTTCTATGAACCTGTTTAAAACAGGTTTTAATTATAATTTGAAAATAAAATAAATTTTTTTTTAAAAAAATCTATTGTTATCTATCTTATCCTGCATTCACAGTTATCGAAAGCTTCATATTGCGAATTATACAAAACATGAGAGACCCTGCAGAGGTAACATTTGCATGACCCAACCCGGATTTTTTAAAAATATATTATATTTAATTTTTATAGCTAATAATGGCGATTTAAAATATTTGATTTAAAAAAATATACGTCCTAGCTTGTATTTAATAAAAAAATTTCTTTAGACCTGGCCTGGGTATTTATTAGCCCAGGTTTATTTAAAAAAATTAGAATACTGTCCGGGATTAGGGGCCGGTCTGCAGATTTTTTATATATAATATTTTTTTCATTAACTTTTCTATACTTTGCCTCAAATTTGCGCTATTATCATCGTTCTTCCCATTCCTTTGATCCGTTTATTATTTTTTCTTCTTCAAAGATGGAAGATCGATTCGAATTCTTATTTAAAAAAAATAAATGTGATCCAAACAAAGTTAAAATGATTAGATTAAGGAGGGGGGGGGGTAGGAATTTTTTTTAAAGGAAAGAATCGAAATAAAAAAAACTAAAGAAAATGAGTAAATTAATCTCATAATAAAAAATTATTTTCTACAAAATATTGGTATAAATTATATTTTAAATACTTGTGATATTGAAATATTTTGCAATAAATTTTGAATCAAATTTCTATTTTTGATGAGAATTTCGAACTCTCAATAATAAAAATTTTTGGAGCGATAAGAGCTCCGTTCGGTTGGAAAAGGTCCGCCCGGACCAGATCTACTCAGAAAAATATCTGTCCAAGTTCCGACTCTTGTGCGAACCAGAGTTTGAAACCTCTGCCTAAGCTAAGATTTTTTTTGTTTCCAATTTAAGAAAACATCTAATATTTTTTTTTCCTTATTTGTTATGAAAAAATTAATAAATGATATATAATAATAATAACGAAATAAAAGGGCAGCCTGTTTGTGCACGGAAAAGGCTTGGAAGGTTTCTCGTTACAAAAATTTGGCCTACGGTATCACGTTGGCAGATTACTATTTAGAACTGGGTGACAGTATAACAGCTTACAAACACCACCTCGAATCAATGGCGCGTATAGTGGAGGACAAGCCTAGGGATAGATTGTATATTTATTTTTTTTGTATATGGTCAAATTTACATTTTCCTCGTGGATTTAAAATACAAATCGCCGCTTTTTTTGTAATATTATACTGTCCTTTCACGATATCATTTTTTTAAAAAAATAAGAGGGTTAAATATAAATGATTTAGGATTTTTCCATTGGGCCAAATTATTAACATAAATTTTTATAAATCCACTCTCTATTTTCAAACCTCAAATTATGTGTATCGAGTCGAGATATAAATATGCGAAAAAAAAGTATGTTTTTTTTAATCCGAGATTTATACTATTTTTTTAAAATATCGAGCTTTCATAACGATTCAGTTAGCTACAGGGCAAAGGTCCAGCTACAGATCACTCCTCGGAACAAATAAATTTGAAGCCATTCAGTATCGAGTTGCTTAAAAAAGCAAATGGAAATCTAGTTTATTTTGTCATGTATTTAGGTTTATATTATACAAAATTAAATATATAATATTACGCCACAATTGTTATAGTAAGGTTTTTTGAATATAACATCTTTTATTACTTTCTGAACAAATGGAATTTAAAAATTACCCATCCATGAATCCTAATCTAATAACATAATTTTGACGATTCATCAAAATATGTAACACAAAACTTCACTTGTATAACATCTTCCCCCTTTAATCAAGTTAAAAAGTTCATATTGCTTGGGAAATTATGTCCTACTTTACTTACAATTGTTTCAATACGCGATTCGCGTCATAGGTACTATCAGGTAAAGCAGTAAGAGCCACGAAACCCTTTCTGACTACTGGTTATTTATTGTTCTCTTAACCCAGTATCATATGTTTTAATTTGTGTAATATAGCCATTTTGTATTTATTTTTATAAATGTTTATTTATTAAATATTTGTTTTATATATATATATAAATATATTATTGCCGTTTATTTATTAAATTACAAATTTAGAAAAAATTGTTTATGAAAAAATAATAATGATATACAACCAAAATTGCATAAAAGGAAATTATTTCCATGATTATTATCATTAATCGATTTAAATTTGAAGAAAGAAAAATAAAGAGATAAAAAACCAAATAAAAAAAAAATTTAAAAAACTAAAATCTAGATATTTTGTCGATAAATTTGGTCTAGTTTGATTTGGCCGAATAAAAAAGCTAGATTCCATTTTTTTTTCTAAAGTCGATTTTTCATATTATTTTTGGGTTGTGGGGTCGGTTTGAACCCAGCCATTATAGGGTTATGGTTAAATCTAAATTAATATTATTATTCTCCTTGATGTGATTTTATATTTTTTCTTGTAGCGTTAGTTGGGTGTACAGGAGACTGGGCATCCTCAACTTGCATTTGAGGAAGTATGACGTCGCCATAAATTATTTCAATCAGGTGTTCCACGAGGATCCGGAAGACATGTAAATTTAAATGTTTAAAAAAAGTAACTCCCCTTATTTAAATTAATTTGTAACTTATTTACTTTTCATAAAATGAACAAAATTTCAAATATTTATGATAAATAAGAAATTTTATTGCCAATTTTTAAGTATGCCGTTGAAAATAATTATATTTTGAACTATAAATAGTTGTGCTTCTTCCCTGAATGTTTTTCGAAAGGCAGTTCTAAAAATTTAGTTTCCGGTTTCAAACTCTAATTAAAAGGTTCCCTTTACTCTCCTTTCATTTTTTTTTTGCGCTAACGCCATTTTAAAAAGAAATGTATGGCAAATTAGAGACCTAGAATGGAGGTTGGATATATCTGGCTTAAGAGTCGTAAATTTAGTTCTTATATTAATTACTCTTAATCGTCAATTGTATAAAAAAAAATCATGAAAAGCGAATCATGGAAAGGTTTGGGCGAAGCTTATTTCAATAACAAGTCCTACAAAATTGCGCTCAGGGCTTTTCAAGAAGCGCTCAGCCACGACGATAAGGTAAAGACGGACTCTCAATCCCAACCCAGTACTTATAAAAAATTGGACCAATCCTATTACAACACCAAGCTAGCCCGAATTTATTACCGGCTGGGGATGCACGATAAAGCGATATACGAGTTGGAACAAATTTTATACACCAAACCTGGATACCTTCCAGCGATATTTAGTATTAAAAAAAACAATTCAAAATTTTTTTTGTTGGGGGAGGAGGGGGTGTATATTCATTAAGTTAGCTGGTATAGTTCTAGTCTTAAAGATTTTGTCAAATGAATACTTATATGATTACTAGCTTTTTATAACAGGGTTTTCAAAATTTTGTTCCCATAACATCTGGTAGTCTTACATGTTTCAATGCCGCTAACCATGATTATTTTGTAACTTGCTACGTAGTTTTTAAAAAGTATTGCGCTACTTTTCAATAATTTTTATTTCAAATCTAGGCCTCGCTCAAGCGTATGTGGATCTATGCAAGACAAATTTAGGTAAGCATTACGATGAACGAGCCGTTGTCTATTGCCAAAACGCCTTAGGGTTATTGATTTCTCTGCTCAATTTTTCGACCACCGATAGCGACGTGGGGATAAATGACTCGTTAAAGTCTACAATTTCTAGCCATCTTTTGGGTAATAAAAGAAAAAATTAATTATTATTGATCGACTGGACAACAAAAAGTTCGAGGAAAAGTAGGGATAAATGAATAAGCGCAATTAGGGATCCAATCGAATATTAGCATTATTCGTATTTTCGAATATCGAATAATTCCTTATTTATATTCGTACAAATAATACATCATTTACTTAATATTCGATTCGAAAATTAAATTCTTTTAATATATTATTTTTTTTTAAAAATGGAATTTTCATCTTGAAAAAATTTATTGTCCCTGTGAATTATAGAATGAGTTTTTTTTTACTAAACTTATTTGAAATTTTAAGGTTAAAATTCTATCAAAAATTTTTCTTTCTTTAAAAAAAAAATTAGGTTATTAAAATTTAAAAAAAGTGATTTATAGAATGTAGAAATGAAATATAAAAATAATTAAAAATGCCAAAATTATACACTATAAAACTACCAGTAGTACAACGCTATATTTTATAACTCACCCAATTTAACAACACAACTTTAAAACTAAAATTAATAAATTTTCACTTCAAATATTGTTCAAATATATATCTATAAAAAAGTCATTGTAATTATATAATCTCGTCCCATTTATACTTTTTTTTGGGGGCAAAGAAATCACTAGTTCTATACGTGATATATAAAATCACTCGACTATCTATAAATACGATAAATATTAAAACAAAATAATTTTTTAAAAAAATTAATTATGATTAAAAAAATAAATAATTTTAAATATATATTGAATGAGTTTTAATGGTTTCCTATAAAATTTAGAATAATATGGAGAAAAAAAATTAAATTATAACGAATAATTTTAGATAATTCGATCGAAATATGGAGAAAAAATTATTCGACGGATAATATTTTTTCATTATCCGTATTGGTGGCGAATTTTAAAATCGACTATTTTTATTATTCGGAAAATATACCGGATAACGAATAATTCGTTTTAGGAAAATGGTTTTACATTTACTAATATAGAGTGCGAAATATAAAAAAAAATTTTCTTGATCATATTTAGATCGTAGGAAGTTTTAATTCTTTTTGAAAAATCAAATTTCTTTTTCTTCAAAATATTTCCAATGGTAAAATCCTTGCTCAAAAAATTTAAGTCAGTTTATTTGTAGAATTTTGTATAAAAAATAAATCTTTAATATATTTTTTTTAGCCTAAAAATTTTAACCAAAAAAAATCTTTTATAAAGATAACAAAATTAAAGAATTTTTATGTTAAAAGATTTTGTGATTTCACCATGAAACATTACTTTATGTTTAAAAAAATAATCATAAACGATTTACTTATAAAAAATATTTTGGGGAATTTAAAGGTAAAATTTGGAGCTTTTTTTTCACTTTTCTGGTCGATTTTTATAAACGGCTAATCTTAATATTTTATTCAAAAAATATTATGCAAGCCGGATGATTTTGTTGACTGAGGGCACAAAGGTTTTCGACATCTATTGACGAAATCCAGAGGCTTAGCCTATATTTTTCTGTCCGAAATATTGAGTAAGACCTTTTAAAAATCGGCTCAATGCGAGCCGTTTTAGCAACACTACTCTTGGTTATATAAAATAAAAACGAAATATTAACATCAAAATTATAAAGCGCAACTTTTTATTTTATCCTAAACATTTTTTTAATCGAAATTCTAATTTTTTTTACGAATACCAGATTGGTATGGTTGTCCCAATTGGGCCCATTTTTGGATTTTGTTTGGCGAAGCCAGCGCCCTACTGCACAACTTTCCTTCCCAAAAAATTCTGGGATTCCAGTTTCATCTCAGATCATCCTCACCCCACGCCAAAATATTCCAGGTGTGTCTCGCCGAAAACGCGGAAGGTGACGGAGCATTGCCATTATCAGCAACCTCCTCCCACAATGAGGATAACAAGAGCAGGAACACGGAGAAAACGAGGAAAGATTTGGATCCCCAAAAAAATCCCGCCAAGACAAACGAGAACCAATACGTGGTAAACCAGTTGCGACAATTGCTAAAGTTATCGACTTGGTGAGCCTCTTAAAATTTATGATATTTGATTATGCCACCATTTTTTTGTAAATTGTTTCAAAGAAAAATGGAAGAATAGGAGAAGTTAAAGGCCTGCGATAAATTCTAAGAAATGGTGATGGGGTTGGTATGTTTCAAAAACCTCTCTCAGTCGTCACTGCTCCTAATTTTTTTTTGGACACATATAAAATGTTTTTTATTAAACGTAAGCGCCAAATGGCAAGAATATCAAAGGGGAAAAGGGTTTTTTTTTAAAAAAACTTAAATAAATTAGTTTAGAAATTTTTTTCCGCCACCTGTCCATAGATTAAACCCGAATAAGCCGAATTTTTAACCATTCCCCACTTTATAAACAACATTATAATCTATATATTTATTACGTATTCATTTATTTAATCTCCTAAAGTTGTTACTTGCGCGCCCTCCGCATATTTCCTTCTTCTCAACCCTTATGGCTCAAAATATGCACTACTCATATGTCTTTGGCCAGAAGCTATCCTTCCGGAGATCCTGGTGCTAAGTTTGAGATATTTTTTTAATACAAAATATATACAAGTTTTATAAAATCAGAAAATTATTTATATTCTCTAATGGATTCATATTTCCTTTGCACTCAGAATGTTCGGAAATTAAAAAACGATCTTGAAAATGATATATACTTGGAAGATAATAAATAGTGCACACAAATTGAGCGTTTACGTTTTGCCGTAATTTTTTAATAAAAATCACATAACGCATCCCTTGTTTAAATTGAAATTGCCTTTTTATTAATATCGTCGATTCAAAATTTTAAATAATTTCCAAAAAAAAAGGATTTGTCTTTGAAAATTATATTATCGTCTGTCTTCTTATTTCTTTAATTTTTCTAAATATTCCTTTTTAGGATATAAGTAAGTTATTTATATTATATTTTTATATAGCTTTATTTTAAAATGGTTGCTAACGCCTAACGGTAATTTTACCATTTTCACTAGGCAATTTGAAAGGCATTAATGGCGCTTGCAACGCGGCGTTTGAAACGCTCAATTTGTTCGCACTATAATAGATTTAAAATGATGATAGATATGAAAGAAAGAGGAAATAATACATTTCCCTTTTTAATCAAAGAATACTCGTTGCCAAAACTTATCACTTGGTGAATCGTTGGTGCGAAAAGTTTCCCGCTTACGCCGACATCGTAAAATCGAAACAAAGCAAGCTGGAAAAATCCATTAACAGCACGAGCGTGGCGAATCACGATTCTTCGATTTCGAATTACTTTATGGGAAATAATCAAGCGAACGGGACCGAGAAAACATTGTTAGAAACCGTCGTTTATTATTACTGTATGTGGTACAACGCGAAAGCCATTTTATTGGCGTCATCTGGTTTATTTTAAAAAAAATATATTTTTTTTCAATGGCGCGGTTTTTTTTGTTTGTTTTTGAATATTTTTTTCGGATATTAATTTATTCGAAAGATAATTATTATTTTTTGTTTCTTAACGCTTGCGCACATTATTATCAGTCATCCATGGATATAATGTTTAGAAGTATGCCAAAACCACTTTTTGGAGGCCTATCTGATTTGATTTGATATTATCAAGACGCCATTTTATCGGACCGGAAACTGCGGATAATCGATATTTAAAAAAGAGGAATGATAGAAAATTTCGGCGCATTCCTAAATAATATTCATACAATTGTTATATTAATTTTTTAAAAAACAAATTTCTCATAGAAATATCTCGATTTGCCATGGCTAAAGACGTTTTTAAAAGCTGCGTTTTTTTGGACAAGAATAACGCTATGTACTGGAGTAACAGTGCAATCTTAAATTTATTGCAAGACAATAAAGAGGTTAATAAATTTCAAAAAATTTAATATTTTGTTTTTGGGATAAGAAAACGAAAGATTAGAATCAAGTTGGAATAAAATAAAATTTGTATATTCCAATGACATAATAATAATTAAAATAAAATTTGTATATTCCAATGACATAATAATAATTAAAATAAAATTTGTATATTCCAATGACATAATAATAATACCTAGACTTAAGATGCATTTATTAAAAGTGTTCATCAATGAAAACAGCTGGGAACGCCTTTTTGGTTAGCCATATCATAATTAAAAATTTTAAACGAGAGGCCAATTTATTCCGTCTGACGCAAACTTTATAAAAGAATTTGCCTGATCAATGAGATAATAAGGATGCAAGTTATCGATTTGATAGTAGTTTTTAACATGAGAATAATTACTATATCGGTTACCAAAATGGCGGGTCCAGCTGATTTGCATTCAACAACGCTTTCAAATGCATTATTATGAATGCATTCCAGTCTAGGAATTATTATATGTCATTGGTATATTCCTTATAAAAAAATTTAAAAAAAATATATCATACAATCTACAGGATGCAAAATCCATTTTTAAAATAGCCAAAGTCTCGGATCCTAGTTACGCCTCAGCCTGGGCTGGATTAGCCATGATCGCCTACATGGAGAAAAAATACGAAGACGCTTTGGTTCTTTTCGAACACTGCTTTACTATGACCAACACCGTAAGTTTATACATGTCAGTTTGGGGGTTTAAATTCAAAACTATGTTTCAGACCCGGAGGTTTTTTTAAATTAAATTTATAAGTAATCGGATCATTTTGAAGAAAAGAAAAACACCTTATTTTGTCGGAAATAACATTGTATCTATGAAATGTTCATGTATTTCTCTAAGAAATTTTTTATGTGTTCGTTCTTAAATTTATATGAAAAAAAAAATCTGAATATAAAACAAAACTAATTGAAAAGTTTAGGAAATTTTTCGAAATTCACAGGGTATGGCAGATCTTTGAAAATGAAAAAAAAAGCTTTCTTTCTTTTCTTTCTTTCATAACAAGAGATGAGTTATATTCTTTTCGGTTTATCTTTTTTATAGATAAGAGGTACGGAAAATCAAATATCTTCATGGTCCAAATTGTTTTTCCTATCGTTTTATAGCTTCCTGTCTCTGGTGTATTGTCTTTGGGAACGTGTCCATTTAGAGATCTTCGGGTTGGGCTAGGTTGGGCCTAATAATTTGAAAAAAAAATTAGCGGGTCAGGTTAGGCTTAAAATTTTTAATATAATATCTACAATTTTGTGATAAATTGATATTTTTTAAAAATTTTTACAATAAACAAGGCGTCAATATCTTTTATTTGTGGAATGTTATATTTATAATTAATAAAAATAATAAATTTTTTTAATATTTGAATGGTATTCAGGCTGGGTCGACAAATAATTTTTACTTTAATTTTGGGCCGGGCTTAAAAAATTAAACCCATTGTAGATTACTAATGGCATTATCCTTGGGACTTCCTTCTGGTTTGAAGGAGCTCCTTTTTCTTGAAGTCTCCAGATTTCTGATAATGGTTTAATTGTAACATGCCTGGTCCAAGGTTAGGACCTGTCCTGCCTTGTATAAAAGATGGAACATAGTTTTGACCTTACTTACGGATTGGAAAGGAGGAAATTAATTGTCTTTAGCATGCAAATGCTCCCCAAAAAGAGTGTTTTTATGATTTTTTTTTTAAATAATTCTTCTTAAACATTACAAAAAAGAAATACGTGATAATGGGCTTTGCGATAACCCTATTAACCCAGCTTTCTCTCCTTTCATCCCTTTCGGATCTACAAGCGTCTCAAGGCGCGTCTTCCATGAGTTCCGCCTCATTTTACCGCGAAAAGATGAGTCCCAATTTCGAGCTGGCTAAACGTTTCCGCATATTTGCTCATTTGGAAACCTGCGCGGACTATTTGCGTAGAGGGGTAATAAATGCTATTTTTTTTCTATTTTGTGGGTGATAAATTTAGTCAATGATTACGTTATCTGATGGTTTAAATAAGAATGGGTGGTTGAAATAGGAACTACACTTGAGTGCTTATCTTATATCTACCAGATTTGTTTCACATTTGATAAATATTCCCAAACATATGCATTTTTCTTTCCTTTAACATTAATCTAATAGTATTACATCCTAAAACTTAACTGCAATTTTATCTGCATCTACGTCACCTTCTTTATTTTGCACAGGTATTATTACGCAATCCGCGAAACGCCCGCGCTTCTTACTTGTTAGCCTTGGTTACTCAGTACGCCTGGGGGGACGCTGGTAGCGCATATACCCTGAAATACAGCCAAAAGTTATTTTTTTATTTGCAATATTTAATTTATTCATATTTTCTATTTATTCTAGCCTTTTTATATGAAATGAAATTATTAACAGAATAAAATAAAGGAAGGAATATAATCATTGGCTGGCACTGCAAATCTTTGTATCTTACATTTTTTTAAAAAATATCATAAATGAATTCATCGGTAATATCCTAGAAGCTAGCTCGAACCAGTCCGTAAATTTCTTACCTAGCACAGCTCGTAAAATATATTGTACAAGTTGACTACCCAAGCCTGGAATAATTTTATAATGAAGGAAACGACGTGTATTTACCCTGAAATTATAAGCTTTAAAAAAACATTTTTTATGAAAGTTTTCTCCCACACCCCCAATCAGTTAAAATATTTTTAACCGTTTTATCTGGTCCCGGTCAAAAAAAAATGATCGCAAAAGAAGTAATGATATATAAATAGGATACGGAAATTTAATGTTTACATAAAAGGGGGGGGGGAAGACAGACATTGTATTTTGTTATAACTAATTAAGATCATCAGATTTGGTATATCATTTACTTATGTCTTGATTCGTTAACTTCGATTTATGCTCAAAAATCTCCGTACAATAAATTTCCATAATTAATAAAAATTATATTTCGAATCCCGACATCCGATTTCTCACAACCAGACAAAGAAAACGCGGGACGAAAAAAAAATAGTTTAACTTTTCTCGAAAAATAGGTTATGGCTATCCTTAAATAATGTCAATTACAAACTGACAGATACGACACGACAGTAGGAACAATATTCCATCGTAATACATTTTTCAAGAATGGTGGTGTGGAATAGTTTTTTTCATGGTAGAGTGGGGGGGGGGAGGAGGGTAAATCTGGGCATTCAGTTTTAGGATTTTTATAGATAAGCTTTTTTTCTAATCAAAATATAAATAAAAAAAATTTAAGAGTTTGAGGTGACCAAGAAGTAAACAATCAATCACATTATAGTAAAGGAATGAAAGAAAAAACGGTTGAGTTGGTTAAAATAGAGGAGCACGTGACATTCATTCAAAAAAATGACGATCTCACATTAAACCTCATGAAAATAAATGGTAGTCACGTGTCATCCATCTTTGAAAAAATAAAGAAAGTTGGATTGGCAGGAAATGAATGATTGTTATAAAAGGGTTTTTTTTTCTTTCGTTCTTATAATTTTTCTTTTTACTCATGAATTTATTAAGGCGCTTTAAATATAGTCGAATCTTTTCACCACCCACTCGCCCCCTCCCTCCTCCCATATCCCAACCAAAAAAAAAATAGAGCCTTCAATAACGTCTTCGACTCGATTGGCGTCGAAATTAATCGAAAAATAGCTTCGTTTGTTGAGATGACGAAATCTGATGCCAGTAGTTTAAGCGACGTTTCGTCTCAGGAAAAAACGAAGGAACTTTCAGACTTTTTCCGCAACATTGAAACCTTGATCAAAATGGCCGATTTATATGGGACGGTTTTAGCGGACCGGGGCGATTTGGAACAAAGTCTAGCCTTGGTCGAACGTATATGGACCGACGTTCCTTTCATGGTTTACGAATTTACCGGTGTAGGTTTTGGCCCGGAGTCATATTCCACGCGAGAGTTTGACCAGTTTTTCCCTTTCCAGAAAAGTTTATTATTATATTAAAAATATAGGCAGATATATACTATAGGGCCAAATGTGAATTTAATATAAATAAAATAGCCAAAATTGGTTAAAATAAATTGCAAAAATCCAGTTATAATTTCAATTATTAATATTAAAAATTTGATATTATTGGAGTTTCCTTATCGGCAAAATCAATTTTACCGAAATTAAGTATTTACTCTCTAAGCGCTTGAATCAATCAAAAAATTATGTTTCCTAATATAGTAAAAACAATCACGAAATCAATGAATTAATAAAGATTTTAAAAAAATTTTAATATTTTTTTTATAAAAAATAGTTATAACCCCCCACTTGGCATCACTTTTATTTTTAATTAAATTTGATCCCTTATGAAACGGTTAAACAATGGTGGGGTACACTGGACGCGCAAACCATTTAGACACACTTCTTATTTTTACCTATATATATGTTGATATTTTTTTTACACCATTTTTGACTCAGATGATGGTGGTACATTGGATACCGGCCTTAAAAAGAAATTGCCGAGCAGTTTAAGCGAACAAGTTAGACATGATTTGTGTGTACCCATGTTAAGATTAGCTTTCGTTAAAGCTTACGCCTTGACTCTCATGGGAAATCAAAAGCAAGCCTTGGAAGGTCGATTTTTAGAATATTTTAATTATTCCTATATTTATATACGATATATGATGTTAACTGGTTTTTGATTTTGATAAAATCATATTGGTTCCCCTCTAATTTTACAGAAGGGATTGTTTATTTAAAGTTTCATAAAAAAATCTATTTTATCCAATTTTCTTTATCAGGATTTTATATTTTACTATGGGGGAATAAGAGGCCTTGAAATTTTGAAATATTTTTTTTATTTATATTTTATGCTTTTACCGTAAAATATCTTCAAAAATATAAAAGTTAAGAAGGCTAAATTATTGCCCAAATATGGATTACAGGAATCCTAGTTTATTTACGGATTTTCAAATTGGAAGGGGTCAGCTGAACCATAATCGGTTTGGCATGGAATGCATTAATTCTTCTTTGTTTTGTGATCATATTGTGTGCGCTCACAGTTGATAAATAATAGAATACCAACTTAGCCTCACAGTCACTTGGTAGGTCCAGTTTACAATAATTTCTCTAAGATTTTTTTTTACTAAATTAAAACCTGTCATATGTGTATGCCTATCATTTGGATATGTCACGTCTTTTCAAATTTTGATATTTTTTGTGGAGTTAATTTGTCTCGAAAAAAGAATGTAAACATACGATAATATTTTATGGATTTTGTGGTATAATATAGGAATCTTGGGAATGCGTCATAATAATTAAATGAATTATTTTTTTTCAATTATGTTTCTTAGTGCGCATTCTAATTAGCGCGATTAAGAACTTCAAGAGTTTTAATGCAAATCCGGAAATTCCTTCACATCTATGGCACACGTTCAAAAATTGAGAATATTTCTTTATACATATTCTCTTCGAAAAATCCCTAAAATAATGATGCATCTTGGCAATGTTTATTTTTTAAAACATATGTATTACACCTTCCCTAACATCTTAAATCAATAGTTTTGAGATTTTCGATGATATAAATAGTAAATATTTTGAAATATTTGGCGATTTTATAATGCTAACCTTTTCAATTAAGGACGCTTTGGGTGTCGTAAGAATATTATGATTAAAAATACTACAAATTCTTGGGTCTAAAATATTTTTTTTGTGTTTTTATTGTTTGTTATGTATTGTAAGTTTATGATAAATTTACAATTACCTACCTGCAAGAGGAATACTAGGAATTGTTAGTAAGATATTGGACACTTCTCTTAACGTTCAAAGTGGATGTATAAAATGTAAAAAAATCTCTATTTAAATTAAAAAAATCACGATTGATTTATTTCTTTCAAAATAAATCGCCGTGGGCTTGATGGCATCTTAATCCCTTTTTATTACCTTTAACTTTTGGGGTATTTTGATAATTTTTGGCGAGATAGGATGATTTCTTACTTCTAGTCCTATAAATTTGTTATTAATAATTATTTCTATTTATTTTTTTTAAAAAAGACTCATTGATTTTCTCGATTATATTTATTATTTTAAATAGTATACGATGAATGGGAAACCGAATCCCGAAGATTAGCCCTGATAGGTCGAAAGGACATTAGCAATGATCGCGATAAAATGCTCGTTCTGAAATCGATAGCTCAATACTTTGGCGGGCTTTCTCACATGGCTACTCAACAAATATCTCAATTGTAATTAAAACGATTATTTTTTATAAATTTATATCTCTCTATATATATTTATATACATATATATGTGTATATATATAAGGAGTTACCTTTAACTGATTTTTAAATATTTTTTTAAATACAAATACTAATCTTAATTAGAGTATCAGACTATTACTAGGAGTTGAAATAAGCAAAGGTGCAGGGGGTCCAACACGTGTTTAAATCGTCCTGAGTTTTATAAAATTAATTTATTCCTTTTTTTATCCTCCCTTCAATGGATTTCCAATAGCGCCCAAATCCGGGCTCGCCCAATCAAAACTTGGGTCTAAACGTGAAATCTGTTTGTAAATCAAATTTTGATAAAATAAATTTTATCAGTAACGGAATTATTTAACTATTTACCGACCCCTGTAGTACACGTGGTGATTCTTTGTTTTGTATGGGCGTAGATAAGTAAAAATAACAGCTTTTAATATTTTCGTATAAAATTTATATATATATGTATCGAGGATTGCTAATCGTCCAGAAAAAATAATACATTTTTGGTTAAAAAAATAAATAATTCCTTTTGGATTCGCCTTAAAATTTTAAACATGCTTACCTTGAACAAATATAAAGTGATTACGTCAAATTTTTGGAACCGTTTTGCGTGGACAGCCTTATGGCTAAATGGTGTTTGCACGTACTCGAAGCCATCGACAAACATTCTGACGCTTCTACCAAAATATCGCTCGCGTTAGTGGACCCGATGCCGATTTTGAAGAATAATTGCTCGGTGATCAAGAATATGCCCTCCGTTTTTATGTACCTCATCTTGAGGATGATCAGGGTTAACGACGAAAACTTCAACTTTGTCCGGAGCATGGAATACCTTCGATTCGTCACCGCCATTTATAACGTAAATGTTTTTGACATTGGATTCCCGTTTTACCCCCTTTTTAATCTCAGCCAAATAGGAATGATATAAAATATAAGCCGTTATCATAGATGTAATATCTAGAGTTATTTTTTCTTTTATAGCCAACCCGGATTTTTTTTTATGGAAGTCAAAGTCAAAATTGATATTATTAATCATACAGGAGAAATCGAATTCTACCTCGAACCAACCGCAGTCAATTCTGTCCATCGCCGCAACTCTGCACGGCTCTTTTGGCGCAGCTAAGGAAACCATTTTCGTGACGCTCTTGTCGAAATATTTGTCCCAATACGAATACAGAACATTTGACCAGTTTTCGTTTATAAAGACAAACCTTTCCACTTACTTCAAAAACGTTCATCACTGTTACCTGCTTCAAAAGGCCCTGTCAAATTTTAGTACTCCCAAACTTTCCAACATAGACGACTTGAACCTGGCCGAAATATGTTTAGGTTCTGGGGGGAACCCATTGGAAGAAGAGACTTTGAGTTACAGGGAATCATTGTTCAAGGGATTAGTTTTGTGTGCAAAGTCTAGTAGTGGGGTAAGTCAATATATTATTTTTTTGTTTAAACTTCTGGGTTAATAATTAATCAAAAGACCTGCAGGCCGGGTTTCTGTTTGATTTTCCCAGATTTGGCACAAATGCCTAAAAATTAATTTATTGTCAGTTTCAGTTGCGAGTAATATTTTCGTTTTTTTTAAAGATTCTACCCATTATTTCTTTTATTACATTAAACAGAAAACGTGTTTGGACGTTATGATGCACATAGTTTTAGGAAATGTCAATGAGGCCTATAAAACCGCTCAAATGATTTACCACCAAAATCCCTGTAAATAATGACCTAAATGATTATTTTTTTACTAAATCTTTGATATATCGATAAAAGCGATCTTAATTTATTCAACAACTTTTTATTTGTCGTAATCAGGAAACTAGTGTTGTTAAACGGCTCGTTTTGAGCCGATTTTTAAACACAGCTTATTCAATATTTTAGCCCAAAAAATATTGCCTTAGCCCTCGAGATTTCGAGAATATATGTCTAGACCTTTGTTCCTTCCAGTGGCGTAGCTAGGAATTTTCCTTAGAGGGGGTCCAAACCCGAAAACCACCCCCGTAGCTAGCCACTGGTTCCTTCTATGAACAAAATCTTCAGGCTTGCGTAATATTTTTCTGGATGAAATATTGAGAGAGCCGTTTTAAAAAATTGGCTCAAAACGAGCCGTTTAACATCACTACAGGAAACGTTGTATTATTAATTTTGAAAAAAAAATGTTATTGGTTTCCATTTCGAAAATGCCGAAAAGCGAAAAACTGGCTCGATCGATAAAAAATAAAGGCTCAATTGAAATACAAAAGTATTGGTTCCCGTTCTAAAATGGCTAAAAGTAATAATCGCTAAAAATAATTTTAAAAAAATTAGGAGGGGTAAGGTTTATGATGGGGGTTTTGCATCCAGTAAAAATCCTGTCATGTAAAAACTAAAAATTTACGGAGTTATAATTAAGTAAAAAAAAGAAAAGTGTGTCATTTCAATCTAATATATCTCTCTTTCATCAGTTTTATATTAAATTTTTTTATTAAAAATATATATATGTACAAATATTTTATATTTAACAATATATATATTTAATATAACACTTTGTTATTATAAAAAAAAAAATCAGAAGACAATAATACTGTTAGAGGTTTACAATTTTTTTAAATTAATTATAACATTTTTTTTTCTCAGATTAATTTGTATTACTTTAAGTTCAGTTAGGTGTTGATCATCTTTTAAATTCCGAATTAATGAATATATGTAGGGATTGGCGTTTTTAGCTATTCACTTAAAGGAAATGGTGATATCCCTCGAGATGATTGTTACTGCATGGCCCTTGTATCTTGTTGTACCTATAAAAACAATGTATAAAAATGTTATGATAAACTAATATATAAACTATGTGGAATTAATTAAAATGAAATAATTACCTGGTCCAAATTTGATGAGGAAAGATTGCATCAGAATTTATCCAGGTAGTATCCATATATATTAAGAAGCTTAATATTAACGGGTCATTGGCTGTCAAATCTACGCAAGAATCACGGACCACTTGAATGTCCTCTCTCTTGCATAAAGGAAGTACGCTCATCCTTCGAACAATAGTGTATACGGCAGACTCTTCTTTATACTACTTGACTAAGTCTAAATGCTGAACTTTACGCCAAACGGCTTGCGTAAAGTGGAAGAAGCAGCCTAAAAATAAATTATGTTACAACTATATACAATTTTAACTTTACCCTTTACTAAAATATTCGGAAATACAAATTGTAGAGCTCGGTCAAATATACGGTTAACCGTGTTTTAAAACAAACTCGTCAGAATATCCCCACTAGTAATGACGCTATTGTGTTGACCACTAACCTGATAACAACATTCAGTGGTTATAATTTCTTAATAAAAAATAATAATAGCAAACCAATTATATTTGGTTCTGCCACGTTAGTCAATTTGTCATCTTATACCATCATTTATATGGACGCAACATTTTACATGTATCAGGCGCTTTTTTAGCCATATATACTATCCATATTATGTATAATCAAACGGTGATCCCTATTATATATGCACTTCTTCCAGATACAAGGAAGGAGTCATATATTGAGCTATTTCAAACAATAGTGGAATATGGTACATTAAATGGTATACAATTTTTGCCAGACATGGTATACAGTTGTAACATAATTTATTTGTAGGCTGTTTCTTTCACTTTACACAAGCCTTTGGCGTAAGGTTCAGTATTCAGGGTTGGGTAAAGCAATATAAAGAAGAGTCTACTGTGTATACCATTGTTAGAAGGAAGAGAGTACTTCCTGTATGCGAAAGAGAAGATATTGAAGTGGTCCGTTATTCTTGCGTAGATTTGGCAGGTAATTACCCTATTATGCTTCTTAATATATATATACAACCTGTATAAATTCTGATGCAATGTTTCCTTATCAAATTTGAACTAGGTAATTAATATTTTTTAACAAGGACCACACAGTAACAATCATCTCGAGGGATATCACCATTCCCTTAAGCAAATGGCAAAAAACGCCCATCCCAACATACATTCATTAATTCGGATTTTAAAAGATAATCAACGCCTAACAGAACTTAAAGTATTGCAAATTAATAATGTGGAAATCGTGACTGAAAAATATGTTATAATTAATAAAAATAATTGTATGACGTTACTTCTGATTATTTTTTATCATTGACAAAATATCTGATTTAATTAAAACATTGTATTATAAAACTGATGAAAGAGAGCGATTGTACTTGGTGGTTCGATTGGAATGACTTTTTAAACTTAATCATAACTCCGTAAATTTTTAGTTTTCACATGACAGGATTTTTTTACTGGATGCAAACCCCTATCATAAATTTATACTTAGCCACCACTCCCCCCCTTCCCTCATTTTTTAAAATTATTTTTAGGGATTTAGAAGGGGAACCAAAGTATTACTTTCTACAAAATCTGTCAATATTATTTTCCCAAATATGTAAAAAATATGGCCAGTTTTACGTTTTTTTTAGCATTTCGCGTTTTCGAACTAATTGGCAAATAAGATATATAGTCTTAATCCTGAAATTTCAGCCGGAATTTCCATATTCCCCTATGCCCCCCCCTTCTCCCCATTTGGAAATTTTTTTTACATCTTACTCCATTCGAAAATTTTGCCTCCTACTTCTAAATTTTATTTAAATGACGATAACGCCTTGACAAATACCTCCCCCCTCCGATTTCAATGACGATCTTGCGTTATGTCTTTCATGTAGTCCCTGAATTTAAGTCATTGAAAACTTGGAAGTCCTCTATAGAAGAAAAAGAAAAAGGTCGCCAATGGTATTTAGATATTATAAATCTTTCAGTATAATATTAATTTATCGTTTTTTATGATGTATAATCGATACTAGACATATTCGATAATCAATTATTGATGGCGTTAGCGTGTTACGGGAAATCGATATATAGTACCTCGAACGAACAATATTCAATGGGCTCCTTTACCGACTATGCGCTCAAAACAAGTTTTTTTTAAAAATGAATTTCTGAATCGCTAAGGCTTGCATCCCAGTATCGTCATTTTTTTATCCCATAAAATTGATTGACACCAATAAATTTCGAACAAAGAAAATGATTGGCGTCGATGCTAAAGAATGCAAAAATAAGAATCTTATTAGGATTTATCCATAAGCGTATCTTTCTTTCTTACTGCCTCTCTCCCCTTCTTGTTATAAGAGAATCTGAACTAACATTGGCGAGAGTTCCCCTTTCGCCATCCCTAGGAAAAAAAATTTCATTTGTCTAATCTTCCTCTCTTTAAATGCTCACAATTTACTATTAACTTGCCGGAGGAAATTATTTTTTAGTATTCCACTATAACCTTTCTCCATTTTTCGTGGTCCTGGGGCATTTAAAAATAACAATACTAATTCTATAATTTCGTTCGAGTAATTCGACTGACCACAAATAAATTTTAATTGTGGTAGTATTGGGGGAATAAGTGTTTTTAACCCCTGATTTACGGGCTCGGGTTCCTTTACGCATTATATTTATGTATTCTATAACAAAAAAACTATCTTAAACCTAAGTCATTGACTTGTCAAGGGATCGCTTGCAATTGTACCATTCCTCCCGCGTCTCCAAACTTTACCCTAATGCCGCCTTACCTAACGGTTACGTGAAGGATACCATTCACGGCCCAAATTCTGGCCTCACTAACGGTTACGCGAACGATGCTGTTAATAACAATAACCTAAATAATTCTAACGCCAATGTTCCCGACCACTCAGCTGAATCCGTCTCTATCATCGTAAACAGGCTTTTATCGTGCCTCGAGTACACGCTACTCCTCAAATTTTGTGTAGAACCCTTGAAATTAAACGCCGAAGCCTCTTTAGAGCCCTTGAAATTAAAGGCCGAATCCTCTTTAGGGCCCTTCCTAAAATTCATGGATTCCATTCACGGCGAGTCTCTACAAAGTTACGACCAAATGTGCGAAAAATTGAGTTTGGATTCTAGTCGGACACGATATGTTGAAAGGTTTTTTTTTAAAGATAAAGTAACATATTTTGACTTTAGTTATAGTATAGTATATAAACTTCTCCCGATTTTTGATGTTTGAATATGAAGTAAAAAAAATTTTAAAATACATTTTGTTTGAGTATGCGCATAAACAAGAATACGATTTTTAATTGTCTTTTTTGAATATCAAAAAAAATAAAGATTTTTTAATATGTATCTTGTTTTGAATATGTCAAAGTAAGGATTTTTATAATTATTTTTTTAGAGTATGTGCGCTATAATACGATTCTTGTTGACTGAAATGTCAAAGAAATGTAGATTCCTTAAAATATATCTTGTTTTGAATATATGTTAAAAGTAAGGATTTTTTGAATACATTTTATTTTAGTATGTGATTTAAAAAGCGAGATTTTTTTCTTTCCTTCAAATTTTGCAAATGTTTTCCAAATATTATTTTTTTAAATAAAATATATATATGTATATATATCTCAAAGGGTAAGCGGAAAATAATTCTCTGGAACTGATTTTTTTTAAAAAATTTTAAACATTTTTATTTGATAATTTTTATTTCGTGGATATATTTATAGGGAATTTTTTCTCCTTTTTTAAAAATTAATTTTGTAATTTTTAATATCTTAATAAACAGGGATTTTTTTCCCGCCGGAATAATTTACCTAGATTTAATTCAAAGATTTTTGGCGGTTATTTAAATTCCGTTTTTTTTAAATATATTTTTTTTTCTACTTTAAGTATGAGTAAAATTGAGAAGCAAAAATAAGGAATTAAAAGTTTTAGTAAATAAATGGCATGGCATTTATTAGAATTGAATTTATTTTAAGATTTGATAAAATAAAGTTTAAAAATAAAAAAATTAATTTTTTTAAAAATAAAAAATGAGATAGAGTAAAATCGAAATAACCTTATAATTGGGAGCAAAATAGCCAAAGTCTATCCTATGTATAGGATGATCAATTAGGGAGTTTCGGTCATTGAATTTGAAAGTATAAAGCTGAGATAGTTGTAGCCATATTATGTATATGGCTAATCTTTGGAGTAGGTAGTTATGTAAAAACTAATAATTACACCGTCCTATAGAAAATCCACTAAGCGTTAAGACGCTAATGTATTAAAGTCTTTTTTTTTTCAAAGTTAAGATATTTATTTTTCTAAAAACCCTTAGGCTAAGACGATGGTCTTCAGAGCTAGACTTATAGTTTTTTTTAGCCTGCTTAGAAAAGGTTAAAAATATTATTAACCTTAAATGAGCTATTTATTAATCATATAAATTTTTAATAAATAAAATTTTAGGTACAGAAATAAAAACGGGATTCCCCTCCCTAGCAAGACCGCTATCCGCAAATCGCTCCTGCACGCCTCGTTAGCCCTCATTCTGTCCTACCAAAAAACGCATTTTTTGACCCAACTGTTTCGTTTACAGCATTCTTTACAATTTCTAGATTTCATAATTGGGAGTATGATGGTTCAAAAAGTCGATCAAATTAACAACCTAGACATGGCCGATTTTAACGATTTTTTAACCAATTTCAAAACCGATCAGCAGTTTGTTAGTCCGAAATTTAAGCGTTATCTTCAACACGTACTTTAAAAAAATATATTTCAAATTTCGACTCCTTTCTTCCAATTTTTTTTTATTATAAATAACTTTTGTTTCCAATATTTAAATAAGTTATGATCTGACAATCTGAGCAATATTTTTTTTTATTAGAGGCCTTCGACATAACCCAAATGGAAGAACGTACATTTTGCATTGCTCTGTAAAGCGTTTTACCTAACATCCCCTTAAAATGCTGAGTTATTATGTCAGGGAAAATTCCATTTATACTAAATGTTACCTAGATTGGAGTCCGTTTAATACAGCTGACTTCATTGTGCGTAACACTTTAAATAAAAGGATTGTCTGTTTATAGTATTATTGTCAATGGTGAGGGAAGGGGTGTTTTATATTTTATAAACAAGGTTTCTAATGTTTGTTTGGGAAAATATTTACATTTTTTTTCAAATGAAAATATTTCTCATTAAATCCAAATAGGAACAAATATTAAATATTACCTAAATTTGTTATGATTTTTATGATAGTGATGCCATTTTCTGATAACGCGACTCTGACAGCACGCCATATGGGGATCTGAAGAATATTGTTTAGATAAATTATTTTACTTTTAAATATTCATATTCATTCCTTATAAATTATTTTATGCCCCATCCAGATAATTTACACCCATTTTACATCCATCTACTGCAACAAGGCCACCACTCCTTCGTCGTCTGTTGTCGAAAAGAGGTTATTGATTTTTCAATTTGACATGAATCCGTCACATCAGGATTCATTACTTCCCTGCAATCAAATCATAAAGCATTACGCTCCTACTTCTAGCAATTCGACCAATCTGGTAGAACGATATTTTAAGTGTTTGTCACAATTCGTTATACAAAATTACAAAGGGAACCACGGGGAGAATGTTGGGGGAGACATTTGCCAACAACAATGTAAGAGTAACAATGAAGAGATAGGTGACCAGGCAAATTCGTTGCAAATGTTGGTGCAAATTTTCAAGAATTCAGCGATTGGATTGGAAACCCATAACGGTTGCTGGGATCTTTTGTGCAATAATTTACTTCTGCAGGCGAGGGAGCCCTTGAGGGACAGAGATGAACTCGAAAAAAGGTTATATATATATTGGGTAAATACTCCACGTTTTAGCTGACTTAAAAACGGTTAATTTGATAGTTTTTCAGCTTCGGGACTCTATACTTGGATTTTTTTGGCGCACACTTGCAATTTAGCCTATTTTTTTAAAAGCCATTTTCCAAACTATTTTATGACCATCAATAATAAATATTTTTTTTAATTTTTAAAATAGAAATTCAACCGCTAATCTTCAGTTGTATCTCAAATCCGATAATAGTATCGAAAATGGAAAAATTGCTCAAATTTTATCAATTCTTTTTTAATTATATTTTATGTTTTTTTATAAAAATAATAATAAATAAATTTTTTTAATTTTTAAACAAATTGTTTTTTTAAAAAGAAAATTTAGTTTGTAAATTAGATACATTATAATTTAATATATTTTTAGATATAATTTTTTTTTAAATGAGTTTATTTCTTTGTTAATATATTGATGATAATGATAATGAATATAAATATTATTTTTTATGAATTAAATTAATAAATGTTAAGAAGGTGTTTAGAAAGGCATTAATAGCGTCGTTGGTTTTTGGAGTTCTCTTTCTATACGTTTTTAATGAGATAATAAAAGAAAGAATGAGGAGTTTTAAATAGTTATTTTTTGTAATGATTGGACCAAACATTAAAACGAATTCTTATCAATATCATCCGAAATTTTTTTGAAAAAATTGTTTTGAATCCTTAAAATTCAAACTAAAGCAAAAAATAACAAGATAAAAATTAAAATAATGTTTAACTTTTAGCTCCCTTAACTTATTCGTTTTTTTTAAAAAAAACTATTAGAAATTTTAAAGATTTAATAACATTTTTCTTTAACGGTATTAAAAACAATCATAACAACTATTGGTATTTTAATGTTATTAAATTTATGTATCAATTTTTTATTAGTAAATTGTTACTTCTAGGTGTTATTATTAATTACCTTCAATAATTTTCAACCTCTGGTATATAATAATAATTACATAACGCATGGACTTCTACAACGAGATGTGAAAAAAGGGAAATATGGCACATTTTTTCATTTATAACCGCAAAACAATATATAAACTGATAATATAATATTATAAATGAAAGACTATTAAAATATAAAATAGAATATATATGTTACTACATGTTCTAAAAAAAATTATTCAATTTTCTCTCTTATTTAGATATAAAACAAAAATTATAAACAATTAGGACACATCCAAAAAAAGTAGACTTTTTAATGACTTTAAGGTATACTATTTTTTGAAAAAAGACTAGCTTGTTAGCCTGTTCTTGCTTAAAACTCCAAAATAAGGTATCCAAATTCATAAACCTTTTAGTCTACTATAGCATTGTATACTGCGAACATATTTTAGAAATATTGGTATATTAATCATATAGCATCAATAGATACATTTTTGATTCACCCATCAAGGAAAAATATCCGAAAATTGCCCGTCATTTTTTGATAGGTTAGCTGCTAGTATTATTTTATTTGTTTTATAAATGCTTGTTTCTTGATCCAAATTACGTAATATGGAGAGAACTCTTAGTATTTATTTGTAATTAGGCTTTTTTCTTTCTACTTTTTTTAAAATATAATTATTTCTATCTTTTTTTATTAAAACCATAGTTTTAATATTACGCGATGTATCTTAAATAAAATATTTGAAAACAAAATCTTATTTAAAAAAAATTTATTTTATTAACTTAAACATTTTATAGCATTAGTTAAATACAGTTTTCTTCTTATTTTCAGATATAAATAATAATCATATCTGGGGTTGATATAACAGTTTTTTTAAATGATTCTAATATATTAGGTTGATGTAAAAATTAAATAGTATAAAAGAAAATTTAACTTAGGTTGATGAATAAGTTAAAATGGAAGATTTAACATTAAGTACATATATTAATAATATATAACATTTAAGTTTCAAAAATTCATATACTCTAGATTATACGTATTATTTTATAAAAATTAATTAAACTTAAAAGATAAGGAATGATTGGGCGTATCTTCTCGATTTAAAAAAAAATAAAATAGAGCCAATGAGTTTCAAGTTGTACTAATTGGACAAGGCTCCAGTCGGTAAATGTATCCTCTATTCCACTCTAAACGGTGCCTACATGACAGAAAATTTTATGGAGGTGAATCTCTCCAAATTCTATACCTACCCTCCTAAAAATTTTTTGGCTTTGTCAGCGATATTCTTCTATCTATTATACTATAGAATATATTAACCTTATCATATTAGTAAAAAAATATTTTAATGAACTATCATATATAACCTAACTATAAAATCCTATTAAAATTTTCAAACAATTTCAATTTTGGCTTCGGTTAAAAAAAAAATATTAGTCAGTGATACTTGACTAGCTGCTACTAACCGTAGTCTTAATATTAGTCACAAGCGTGTATACATTTAAACTGTGCTAAAATCTTGTCTATAATTTAATTATTTGAAATTTAAATAGATTATTAAAATCGAAATAAATGCAAATCCTTTGACCAATTATTTTAATTTTTAATCCGACAAATAGTGTTTATTTATCTCTACCTTACACCCTAGACTACCTCCTTATGAATGACCTACCCTCCTAAGAAAAATTGGAGGCAAATGACACCTATCTCTACTTTCATGTTGACATTGACACTAAATGATTCATTATTATTTCATTTGATATATTATAATCTAATAAACAGAGATATATGCTTCATGGGTTCATTTCCCGCCTGTACTTTTTTTCTCAAATATTCACGATTCTTATATATAAAAAGTTATTTTATTTTGTTAGATACTAATTTCTGTATGAATAAGATTTTTACCGTAAATTTAATAATGATTAATTTCAATATTTAATCTATTCACTCATTTATAATGTATTTATATCATAGCAACATATTTGGATTATTATTATAAATTTATTTTTATATAAAATATAAACGATATCATTATATTATATTTAGTTTTTATGAATATGAAATATAAGAATATAGTTATAATTATAATAAAGAAAAAAAAATGTTTTATATTTGAAATTTGTTTATTAAAGATAATAACACATATATGTAATTCCTAAAGTTTCTCTTATAGAGGTTTGGGAGCATTATTCATTTGATTTAGGAACGGCTACATCCCCTAGAAACACCAGAAGAGCATTTAGAATTTTTTCCAATGTAAATCATTTCTACAACTTTTTGATACATATTAATTATTAATGTAATCTTTAGAAAGAGTGAGTAATTATATGGTAATTATCATGTTATAATTATAATGATAATGATGTATATATTTTATTTTAATAATATTTTGTGAAACCCGTGGCGAAAATTAAATATTTTCCATAAGTAATATATGTGACTTGATAATCTATTTTTGGTTACATTTTATTCTTATACTTACTTGTTATTTTCGGTAAAAATTTCAAACTTCATAAACTTTAAGCTAAATTTTTACAATTTATTTGACTTAAAAAAATTAATAGCCTTTGGCAAATTTGGAAAAATGATTTGAGCCTCTATTTTATTTTTTGCAAAAAAAACAACTTATTTCTCATATTTTGTTAAAGTTGACGAAAGTTTATTATTATTTTCTCACGGCTTAAGAAGAAAACCACGAAGACCTTAAAAAAAATATAAAAGATTTTCATGACTTGTGAATTGTAAAGTACTCCATTTTAATAGGTTTTATTTTATTTTAGATTTTAGCACTATAATTAATTCAAATATTTATTCCAAATATATTAATAACAAGATATTTGACAATTTTTTTTAAACCTAAAACAATGATTAGACCAACAAATCGTTCGAATATTAACGTAGTCTTTGTGAGGATATATTAAATCTTGATAATTAAAAATATTAAATATTTAGCCAAATTTTATTCACATGATATAAATTCACATGAAAGTCAATTAATTTCAGAATTTAAATTTTTGGTATGAAAGAATAATTTTTGTAGATAATCCTCCAAGAGACGCCATGGAAGCATGGCACAATTTTAAAATATATTTTAAAGTTGTGCCAATTATATTAAAATTGTAAATTTTGGCAACAATACCATTTAGTCCAAGCAAAAAATGTGAGAACCTTTTCTATATTACAGGAATAAAACCTAGCTCAGAAATATGACATCAGAAAATTGATTGAATGGACTATCTCTATTTAATATAGAGAGGGATTGTATTTCTGATAGGAATAATTTATTGAAAAATTGGCTCAATGGCAAAGAAGGTTGTATTTCATTTCATGATACTTTATAAATCATCATATAATGCTTATTATTCATATATTTTATTGTTATTTATATACCGGTTTATTATCTATACTATTTTTTAACAATTATTATATTTAAGTTTCATATTAGTCATTTTTTTAATAATATGATTGGTTCTTATGTTCCAAAAAAAATTATTTCAATCTAACCCCCCCCCCTCCCATAGAAGATTACTGACTATACGTTATTAAAATCCAAATTAATTAATAAATTTAAGTGAAGATTTATGATGAGATGACGTCCTAGGAAGGACTGTTCTAAAGAATCTGTATATAGACACTTTCTTTCCTTTCTCCCTTTCTTTCTTTCTTTCTTTCTAGCTTTGTTTAATGGGTGTATCACAAGGGTGGAGGGGGGGGGATTTATAATGTCTTAAAAGCTTGGAAAACTTCTTTTTTTTTATTTTGAAAATTATGTCATATATAAAATTTAAGAATTGTTGAGTGGATGTTTTATATTATATCAATTTAAATTATAAAGTTAAATTAAGCATTTAAACCATCCTTCGGAGCTTTCGTGGTAATTGTCCCAATTGTCTCAGCCTCCGGTAAAACTCTGGCTAAATAAAATGTTTTTTTAGTTATATATATAGTTAAATTTATACTTACCATCACCATAATTTGTGATAGAAGATTGAACGATAATTGCAAACACTATTATTACCTATATTTGTTTAATTTAATATATAATATGTAATAGGAATTGCAGAAACCCTTTAATTTTAGTTCCAATATAACTGATACCCTTTTTGATTTAGAAATAATTCTGTCAATTGCATACGTAATTCAATCAAAATATAAAGATTGAGAGAGGGATATATTATCAATGTTTCCTGAAAATTTCATCAATTTCTATTAGCAACCTTCAAAGTTGAACAAAGAAAATTTAAACTTTCCAGTATATAGGAATTCACATTTTAAAAAAATGTTCTAAGATAACTTAAGTTTAATTAAATTTAGGAAAAGAAAAATTATGGAACCATAAGGTTTTTGAAGGAATTTGTTGACATAATCTGGTCATCGATAGCCTTGAATGGATTGATTGCAAAATGATGCTACAATAGAAAAACGGTATGAGGTACTATGGAATTCAGTTGGAACACCCATATTGAGCCAAGAAGAACCGACATGGCATCCACAATTCGTCAAATATGAGAAACTGGTATTTCACAAATCCATAAAAAGCTGCAGATAAAATGTTTAAAAAGAAACAAAACCAGGACCCAAACAATACATATAGGATTTCCCGGTTGGGATGTACCAAAAAACCTCTATGAAAATGCCCTCGTTAGATTAATTCAAATGGTTTACAGGTCTATCTGCAAATCTGCAAAATTTATCCTATATATTGCCAGCCAATCGATTGCTTCGTACCGTTCAATTTATCGAAGTCAGTCATGGTTTTAGTCGGGCAATAAGTCTTAGCTGCGCAGAACTCATATTTATCAATCTAGTGGTCAAAATTAGATGTGCATACTCTTTTGACGTTTAACTCAGTGCTTATTGTATGCTATTAAGTATGTGTAAGGCAGGGAATTTTTCATTTTCAACACGACAATGCTTCAGCACAGAACCAGTAAGAAACTCCAAATTTTATTTCGTCCATTCTCCCACCCCCTCCACCCATTAGCCCTGATTTTATTCGAGTCATCTATAAAATATGGTGCATCCTTCAAGAACGCGTTTAACAAATCGAGTATGCGACATTTATAATCTAACATAGATTGTGGTGGGATTTAATTGTTCAATCAATTAATGACGAGATTGACTTAGATCATGTATTCAACCTAATAGCATGCATTTGAACATCAGCTTTGAATTACAACATTTAACTTAAATTAATCTTGATGTTCTCATGTTTTTGTCAAATTTAGTAATGTTTAAATTTTGTTTGTCCAACTTTGAAAGTACATAACCTTGGATACTATTAATAAAATTTGTGATTACAGAAAACATTGATAATTTAAACCCTTTCCCAATCTATAAAATTTTATATATTTATTTATAGAATTGACATGCTAAAACAAAAAGGTTAACAGTTCGATTAGAACACAGTATATATCGTGCACACAAATGACATCTGCGGAATGCCTAGAAAATATGTGGTCTCATCAGCTAAAATGGAGAATACATAATCTATTTCATCTATTCATTTTCCTAAAATGTGAATATTAAAAATATAACTTATTCAGTTTTGATTTCAAAGGCTAGAAAATAGCTTCCATTATTATCGAAATTCAAATGATTCTTAATGACCATGTAATGCACTATTTACCCTCCCCCGTACACTTCTCGCTTGCTAGGGGTCTTTTTAAAATTATAAATACGATTTAAAAATTATTATAATTCTAATCTTATATTCTGCACATTAACATAATAATTAGAAAATAATTATACAAATACTTACATGTAAGTGCAACATTGGTAGAAAATTACAATGTAAGGTAAATACCACAAAATAGTTTTATATTCGATTTGTATTTATAATTATTTTTGTAAAATTTTTATATCATCTATTTATATATAATTTTATTATGAGACGAAAAAAAAATAATATACCATTTTAAAAGATAACCAACTATAATAAAACCTTGATATGTTTTGAATTTTTTTTTAAAAGTTACTAATTTTTAATTTAAACTAACAATAAACCACGAATTTAAGTAAACATCCAAATTTTGGGAACTATTAATGATATTTTATTAAATAATGTTATTTCATCTCAGGGTCAGGAGTGTAAATTTGATTTTAAAGTTTTTTATAAAAAAATATATTATTTGACTTTGAATTTTAAACTAAACAAATATAAAATACACCTTTATTGAAATGCAGGAAAAACCATTAATTTACCAGATGGATCTTTATGACTATCTTTGCAATTTTATTAAGTGTAATATTTGTAATTCTGCTCCGTGGGTGATGGTGGTTAAAATAAATATTTATGGGTTTCAAATAAAAGGACAATTGTAGTTATTTTAATTGTAATTAAATATCACTCTAACTGTGGAGATAGGTCTTGGTTGAGGGGAAGGGGGGTCATTACCTTCTAACATTTCTTTTTATAAAATGAATATACAATATAGATATTAAATGAAGAAAGTTAATTAAAACTGTAGTGATAATATTCACATTTGGTCTTAATGAGTAGGAATTTGCCAGGAGAAGGGGTGGG